CTACTGGCTGCTCAGACCATGCACCAGATCAGACACCCACGACTACCCATGGCCCAGTTCGGTGGCACCTTCTCTCCAGCTGCCAGCACCTGGGGACCCTTCCCTGTGCGTCCTGTTAGTCCCGGCAGTGCTAACAGCTCCCCCAAACACAATGGAGGAACCAACAGCACTGGAGGCCAGGCCAGACCCAACTCGACCCACAGTGAGCACAGCAACACAGCCAGCTCAGGAGCCTCGGTCACGAACACCAACACCACAACCACCATTGCTCCTAACACGTCTACAGCTGCAGCCTCGCCTCATACCCCTAATCCTACCCCATACAATCCCCAGCCAAGCGTCCCCACTCCTTCCTCTGTCAGAAAACAGCTCTTCGCCCCTGACCCCAAGCCTGCTGGTGTCAACCCTGTGTCTGTTGCTGCCACTTCTATCAGTGGCAGCAATGCAGTACGAGGCACAGGTTCTCCTGCACATCACAGTTCCACTACAACTACCGCAAATGCTCCTCAGCAGCTAGTCGGCCCCATTTCGCAGCCCCCCATACAGCCAACTAAAACAGAGCCCAGTGCGGTTGCCCCTCTTGGAAAAGATAAGCCCTCTCTAGCTGTAGAGAACCATGCTGTTTCCGCCAGTGAGAGCATCAACTCTGTGGGTTTCTCTGCCCCTGCCGTGGCTTTACCTCCTAAACCAGAACCTCGACAGCAGTTACCTCCCCCTCCCTCCTCTGTACCTTCCTCAGAGGCTCCACCACCCCTCCTCAACCCACAGCACAGCTCCCACCTCCCCTCAGCACCTCCTCCTGTCCTCTCACACAATGTTGCACACCCCAGCAACACTGTACCCCACTTCTCAGCCCCTGCGCCCAGAGTCTCCCATCGTATGCAGCCACCAGGGCCTTACTATTCCCTTCCTGAGCAGCAGCAACAACAGCAGACGCAACAGCAGCAACAACAATCTGTGTTTGTGCCCTTCAACGCTCAGCAAGAACCCCCGAAACAGACCCAAAACCAGACGTCCCAGCCCACAAATTTGCCCCCACAAGCGCAGACCCAAGCCCAGGCTCCCGGCTCCCTTCAGGTCTCTGCAAACCTGGGGATGATGAACGGTTCCCAGATGCAGCATGTGGCCAATACAGGCAAGCCTCAGCAGATCCCCCCTAATTTCGGTCCTACAGGCCTCTTCAACTTCAGCAGCATCTTTGATAACAACAGCCAGGTGAGTTGAAGTAACATTTATAGCTTGAAAATTAGCCAGACACCCCGTTTTACTGTTTATCATTTAAAGTCATCACCTAAGAACAGCAAAGAAGAAGATTAAAAAGTTTAGCAGCTTTAGAAAGGATTATCCTAAACAGTACAAATGTCAGGGTTCCAATGTTATCAATTGTGCTTGCCTTGCAGGTTGGAAACAATCAGGTGTGGGGTGCATGCCATCTGCCGACTCGATCACCTCCAGAGCAGTCGTACTCAGCCCCACCAGCCTACATGAGCATGGGCCAGATGGAGAATATGATGCCCCCACCTCCTCCAGACAGCTCCAAAGCCCCTGGCTACCGCTCTGCCTCACAGAGAATGGTCAACAGCCCAATCGGTATGACTGGTTTTCATTTTAGTCTATACATTGTTGATGTTTGACTAGGTTAATCCCTTTTGAGATAAAGAATCAGTTTTCAAGAGGAACATAAAATAATAGCATCAAATTATTATAAAGTCATACACGAAAGAGAAGGTAACATAGTAGAAACATGTCTTGTTATAAGGCGTTGGCTCTCTTTGCTTTCTCATGTTCTCAATAATGAGCTGTTTCTTTAATTGTCTGCACCGACAGCATTGACCAGCTATGCCACCAGTATCTCTGGCAGTCCTGTGTATCTGCACGGTCATACACCAGTTGGCACACCCTCATTCAGCAGACAGCACTTTTCCCCGCACCCATGGAGTGCATCCACATCAGGTACTAGGCTCACACTTGACTTGTTTTTTCCCTGCAAATTTTCAGCCTTGAACGATCTGTTGAGACTTTTAGAAAAGCAGTTTTATTTTTTATTTTTTAGTGCAGTTTGTATTTTTAAGGAACTGTGCAAATTAATGTTTTTTAACCTGTGTAAATCTGATGTGCCCCTAACTCTTCCTTCCTATACCGTCTCATCTCCACCAGGTGAATCTCCTGTCCCGCCTCCCTCTACGGTGTCATCGTCGGCCCTTTCCACCTCAGCTGTGGCCCCTCCTCCTCAGCCTAAGCAAGGCAGCTCCTCGCAGCAGGACCGGAAGGTTCCCCCACCCATCGGCACAGAGCGGCTGGCCAGGATCAGGCAGACGGGTTCCGTCAACCCTCCTCTCCTCACCACCAGCTACACGGCATCCGTTGGACAGGGAGGCATTTGGTCGTTCGGGGTCGGCAGTGCTTCAGGTGAGAGAAAATAATATTTTAATATGCTGTTTCCCCTTTTTTTGTTTTTTAAGAATCAAGACAAATCTCAATTACTGTGTGCTAGTAACTGCTAACAATTATATATTATAACATATAATACTAACCCCCAGCGTGTCTTGGTACAGAGGCCATGTCTGGTTGGTCCCAGCCTCTGATGAGCAGCCACATGATGCACCCTCAGCTGCAGGCAGAGCAGTCGGCCTTCTCTCAGCACCAGCCCATGGAGCAGGATGACACAGGCATTGCAAACCCTGCTAACAATTACCACCAGCCTCAGCATTTGCCCAACAGCTACATGGACTTCCCAAAGGTAACATAAATTCATAGCTCTGTAGATGATTTAACCCCTCTTCCTCTTATGTACACATCTTTTACCAATTACTCACTGTTGTCTGTTTAGGGGATGCCTATGTCAATGTATGGAGGGACCATGCTGCCCCCTCATCCTCCCATGGCAGAGGGGCCAGGGGGACCAATGTACAATGGTTTGCACGCTGGTGACCCTGCATGGAGCCCCATTATCAAAGTGGTCCCTAACAATGCAGATAATTCTGACCCCCAACAGCAGGTAATGTCCTCTTTTATTATACCCTTGCTGTCTAAACATATGCTTAATAGTTCAACTGTCTTGTATTTCTGCCATTAATCAGATAATATATATATTTGACTTCATTTGTTCTAACATAGACCCCTTACTGGTCCTCTCCCCTTTCAGGTGTGGCCTGGTACCTGGGCACCTCATGTGGGCAATGTGCACCTGAACCACGTCAACTAGACAGCGTCCACAGCAATCAAACGCACACCGCATGACCCACAGCGCAAACATGAAATACCAACTGACGAATATGACCGAATAAGACAAACGAAAAAAGAAAAACGAAAAACGTACATGTTAACTTTAGTAGAGACCTGAGAGTGCAGAGCAGAGGTTGAAGAATTGGAAGTTCTCTTGACGCCATTCTTTGATGTGCCTATTTCAAACAAGGAAAGAGGAAATTGGGCGAGAGCTGTTATCAGTGTCTCGATGATGCAAACAAACATGCGCGATCACCTGTTCAACAGGATCCATTCTCTGCGTAGTTTAGCGATTTTGACTTAAACTCACATACACCGTTCTTGGGCTGCAGGGGGCTCAACATGAAGTAGCTATTTAAACTTGGCCCAGAACTAGATGATGATTACCTAAAGAGAAAGAGAAATCAGAACCTTTTAGAGTGGTAAATACATGTATAATTGTTTACATACTAAAAAGGGTTAAAATGAGAGTAAATTTCATGTCGTATAGTGGCTCTACTTTATGTAGCCTGTATTAATGTGAAATATTTACCTTAATATTCAATAAAAAGATTGAAAAGTATTTGTGTTGTTTTAATGAAACATTATTCTTCACTTATTTGCATGTTTTGGCTTCAGCAGACATCAAGACTTTCTACACATTTTATATTATGAAATTATGTCGTTTTTGGCTTCTTTTTGGGCACCATCTCTTTCTTCTTTTCACCACAGGACAGAATACATTAATACTGGAGTCCTTGTGTAGTCTTGAAATCTGCCTTTATGGTTGCAGATTGGTCTTAAAGAACAATCTGATTTTGATTTGTTACATTTTTTTAATTTTACTTAACCATTTTATTTAAGTATAATAATATATGTTTAGTTGTTTTTTTTCCCTTTTTAGATGAAAATTGAGCTAGCTGAAAGGGCTTTACTGTCAAACTGAAATGCTAGTGTGATATATATAGTGCTCTTGCCACTGGAGGCAAAACTGCCTCTTCTCAACCCAAAATACATCAGTACTTTTCCATTTGAGATTCAGTGATGGTTGCAACACTGAACTTTACCCAATACTGCCACTTAGTGGTAAGAGTGGGGATCTCTTTAATATAGTACAGCTTTCCTGTTAATAGTAAACACTTAATGATCAAACATAATATGGTTTTCATAAATTACAGAGCCTTAGATTAGTTTGACTCAAAATGTTACCTCTGCTTTCACTGAAGGTACTGAAACATAAATGTCAACTGGCCAGTGGCTCAGAGGGTTTATGATATATTCAAAATGTAGTTATCATATTTGACACAGTCTTATACTACATGTAAGTTTTGTTGACATACATTAAAACATAAAATTAGTCTGCTGGGAACAATAATGTCTGTTACTATACATATATATATATTCTCTGTGTGTGCACAGTTGTAAACTGGACCAGAGCTGACTTACAAGCTATTTGTGATGTTAATAATCATGCTCAAATTTTAAAAATCAGATTTTCAATGAGCACAAATCATTCAGCACAGTGAAGCTTTAACATCCAACTGCAGGAACAAGAAGAAAAACACATTTTTGAGCGGACTAACTAATGCACATTAATGTTGATCAAACTAACTTCTTAAAAGCTCTTGAGTAGAGTTGGTTGTGTGTTATATACATAGCAGGCGACAGATGCTAGGAGGAGGCACGCTGACACCTTTTTTTAAAATTATTATTACCCTTCATTTCACGGTGAACGTATCTTGGGCTTTTATTTTGAAGTCTGACGGCCAAGTGGAACCGGAAGTGAAGCTCCGTAGTTCCTCATTGGTTTTGCAATCCAAGGTAAGCATGGCGGAAGCTACAACAACAGCGGGCCCCGAGCAAACACGTAAAACATCGCCGGGACCTGTGCCATTTGACTTTTCCCAGCCTCCGATTATCGAAGGCTTCAACCCTTTGCCGAGGCTCAAAGATGAGACATTCAAAGAGAAGTTCATTAGGAAAACCAAGGAGAACCCATTCGTCCCAATAGGTGAGTTATACAAGCAGGGTAACGCTGAAAGTTACACTAGTGTAGCACAGATTGTGTCTTTTAGGGTGGTCAAATCAATGACATTTAATGCTGCGTTAGCTTTTAAAACTCCACGACTCTCAGCTTATTGTTTGGTTGTTAGGAAATAGTTTCTACACAAGACATAATCAGAGAAAGTACATAAAACTGTATTTGTCAGTTTCCATTTGACCCTGACAAATACAATGGGTTGTCATTCGAGTCTCGTTAATGGAGGACTTGCTTTTATTTTATTTTAGGTCGTGTAAAGATGTATTGAGTGTAGTTTCACCATCTTTTAATCATAATAACTGAGGGAGCTGCGGTGCCCTTGGGCGGGCCAAACCCAAATCACACATATCACATAAAATATGAGTGAAATTCTCCCTCAGTTATAATGGCAGTGTTGTGATTTGATTTCCATTAATGCTACACTGTCTTAATAACCTTTATTTATAATAAATGTGACTCAAGAGTCTGGATATACTTCTTGTTGTATCTAGTAAAGAAAAAAAAAAGACTCCCCATGCAACAACAGTCAGGTGGTGGTAGGTCACATGACTATGTAGTTAAAAATCAATATTTGAATGACTGTATCAAAGGACAGTGCAACAGACAGCCTGCTCTCTGTTTGGCCCTTGTCATGATGGATCCTGTTTATAAGACTTGCTTTGTATTCTCCAGGGTGTTTGGGAACAGCTGGAGCGCTGATTTATGGTCTCCGTGCCTTCCATCAAGGGAAAACCAGACAGTCCCAGCTGCTGATGAGGGGACGTATCCTTGCTCAGGGCTTCACCGTAGTTGCCATCGTTGTCGGTGTCTTCGCCACAGCCCTGAAACCCAAGCAATGAAGACGGACCAATCCCATAGATCTGCCATCGGCCCCCAGTTCAACTTTGGGAATCAGACCAGATCAAACTTGGAATTGGACTGACCTTACTGTCTGTATGAACTGAATAATGTATTATGTCTCCAGCATTGTTAAGATACTTATATTAAAGCCAACACTATTTATTGTGGTTTGAAAACTGAATTGCTCATGATGGTAAAATATTTTGCAACAACAAAGTACAATCAGCTCCTTACCAAGTAAGAAAGCTGTATTTCACTTTGAGTGTTCTATGAAAGTAGTGAGACAAAATGCTGATAAATATAAATTTGATGCTTCTTTCTCTTCAGGAGGGATTTCAGATGTTCTCATATTGTCACTGAAATGATCTACGTAACACCTAATATAAATTATAAGTTGAACCTGGTGTCCTGTGTGTGTATTTGAGATAAAGCACCACACTCACAACTGTATTCAGGGGACATCTACTCCTTCAACCTTTATTTAACAAGTTATTTAAAAAAAAAAAAAAATCAGTGGGGAAATTCATTGTGAACACAGTTTTTATTTTTATTTTAACGGCCTGGGTGAGTAGATTAATGGGAGGAGGCGTTTAGACATCAGACAGGCCCAGTCTCAATGTCCACCTTAAACACAGACTTTCAATTTCACTTAAATACTCGTGTAGGAGGGCTTCAAATAGTAACAGCACTTTGTGAAATCACTTTACTTATGCAGAGGCATTTCAGCCGCCAGCGATGTGCGACACTGGTATCAAATTGGTATCACGCCTTCATAGAATAAAGGACTAAACCGAATTTGCTGCTGTGCTCATCGAAACTAACATTTGACAATTATGGGTGAATCCCTCGTGTACACTTCACAGTAACACAGCCTTCAGCAATCTCTGAGCGTATGCACCGGGTGGATGTTGGCACTGGGCCACCAATAATTCCAGCTCCTCACACATCAACTGGGCAAACTGGGATTCAAGTGATTATCTCCAGTGCATTTTGATGGCAGTTGTAAGCCGGGAAAATATGTAAGGACAAATTACTTTAGGTGATCGTACTCAACTGTTTTTTATTTTCCAGTTCCCTTTTAACATTCACTTTTTTTTCAGTATTCATATGTCCAAATAGGCAACATGTGAAACAATGTGCAGACATTACTGTTGAAATTGACACCTTATTGATTGCTGCTTTAAAAAAAAAAACATCCAAAACATATTTGTGTAACAGAAATGGTTCAGGAAACAGCTGCTGAGAAAGAAATCTGTGAAATTATGAAATCACACAAGCCGTCAATCACGTGAACTCTGAAAATGTAGGTGATAGCAGAAATCTTTGGTTGTGATTATTTATTTTCTTTGCCTAATTGAAGAGGAAATCCATCTGGCTAAATACTCAAAACTGGAGTAAGAGCTACATCAACAAAAGGCCACAAGCTTATGTATTTTAAAAAAGAGAAAAATATGCTAGCTACGTTAAATATGGTAATTAGGGATATAATACAACAAATGTGAACAAAGACTGTGTTTATAATTCTACATTGAGAGGCATACGTGGTTACAATCTAATATGCAATAGTGCTTAATAAGTAACTTTTTGACATCGACCAAGATGCAAATTTATAAAACAACTAAAAATTGTGCATCCAAAATATTGGCAGGGGCATGCAAAAAAAAAAGTTGACCTAATAACATTTTATAAGTTGAAGGGGAAAGAAAATGTTCAACTTACAGTAACAATATTTTCTTAAGTATAGCAGTGATAACCAGCTAAAGGATGTCGCAACAATAGAGCAGTCCTTCATCTTCTCACAAGAGAGTGGGATTAAGTATATTATTTCAATATAATAGGCATCAAGAAAGGCGGAAGGTTTTCAGAGGTTATAAACATACCAGGAATTTTATGGAAAAGGACATACAAACTCTTCTGATGCAATGTGAGGTTAAAAGTGAAACTGCAATGTTTCTAGAACAAAATTCTCCCTGCGACCTCCTCTAGCGAACGAGAGGTGTCTGTTTGAGAGAGATGAGGACAGAACGCATTCGAGAAACATCCTTTGCCTGTTTGTTGGTTTTCGGATTGAAGTCACAGAGACGGGCGACTCTCTCCCATTCGGATCCTGGGCTGTCGCTATCGCTTTCTGCCAGGAAAGCCTCCTCTGATGCTCTACAGGTGGGGAGGGAGACCAGAGAAAGACATGAATGAGTTGAAATATTAAAAGGGAATGGTTTCAGAAAGGTTTCCATAACAGCAAATGTGGCCCGTCTGAGTCAAACGTGGCGCTCAACCACAAAGTTCAATAACACGAATAACACCTGTGCGTAAGACACACAAAAACTTCATGCATTTCTTTATGCCAATCATACACTTTGTTGGAGACATGATTAATATTTATTATAACCTAAGGCCTATGAAACAATCTAATAACAATGCAAGAAATACCAAGTTAGGCCTTCAAAAACAAACTGGTAAATTTAGTGTTTGGGCATGCATCAGGTGAAAATCAACTAGTTGAAACTCACGGGGGGTAGTTCATACAACATTAAAAAGCGTAAGAATTCTAAACCTACACAAAGCCTATAACATCAGAGTTGGGCTGTTTGTAGAAAGCCTTGTCAGCAATCCTAGTACGCAGGCAAGGCCAAGAAAGCAGAGAAAAGAAGGAGAAAGGAGAACAGTTTCAGTGTCAAACAACAAGCAGAGAAAAGTTAGGTTCTGCATTACAAGGATTATGTAAGCGACCGAGAAACAACTCTAATGAGGTGGAAATAGAAGTTTTAAACCTGTCTGAGACTAAATACAATCTTTCTGTGCCACCGCAGTACAATGTTGCCAATAAACAAGCTAGAAATGGCGAAGGTCAGCTACTGGCTGCTTTGGCGCTAATGTGGGTGAAAACTGTGACATTTGCTCTCCGCTGCTTGCATTCCTTTTAGTTAGCGAGCTTCCTGTTTTGTTTTCCAGGCAATCTAAGTGGACACGCAGCTGTAGTGTAATATCTCATCAGAGGATTGTCTCTCAGTGCTTTCACAGACACAGCGGAAGAAACTGGTCAAAACTAGAGCCACAGATGCAGAGTGATACCGTGCCAGACTTGGACAGAGTCTGTTGGAAAGTGTGAGAGAAGAACGGGTTAGTTTGGTCAAAAAAAGGGAAAGACTGCAATATGTCTGTAAGCATAACGTACATTGACTGCAACAAGACTAAATTAACAATCTTTAAGTAGTAGACGGACTGTTTTTATATAAGCACGGAACTATTTGAAAAATTTTATCAGCAATACTACATCAATCAGCGCTCCGACATTTGACCTGTTGGTGCTTCAATTTTCTCCATCACTCATTAAACATTCGGTTTACAAAATACCAAAGTCCACCTAATATGATAAAGTCATAATACTGTGTTTCTGTTGCCACACAGTGCATATGAAAAACAACTCTTTGAATGGTTTCTACTGAGAAAATTTACAAGCCGCCCAACTCAACACTTGAGTTGTTAATCTGAATATAATGAGTTCAGTGTAGTGATTACAGCATCATCACATCATAATGATAAACCAACTGGTACTTCTCTGCATGTTAACCGGGGACATGTCAGACCCTAACCTGTTGTTGGCCTTGTTCTTCTCCATCTGCTCACTCTGGTGTACATGCCAGTCCTCCAGCTCCTTTTTGGCTTTCTCTCTCCACTCTGCCTCTGCTGCCTTGGATGCCGAGTCTTGTTAGGGTGCGACAGCAGAGAACAACACAGTCAGGGAGTCCCCAAAAGATGAAATATAAAAAGGAGAAGAACCGACATAATAAATACTACATCAAAGATAATGCTGGATTATTTATCTTACAAAGGTAATTTGGAAAAAGATACATCATGAAATGACATAATCACAGTGGGTCATTATAGCTGGAAAGCAAGACGTGTGTTATACAGTATCATTCATTCCCCAATGAGAACATCTTTGCTCACCTAATGCCTCAAGGCGTGTCTTCTGCTCCTCCCTCCACTTGCGTAAACTCTCTGGCTCTTGCCTCTGAATATCCACCTGGGCGATGGCTGCATAGTTGTCTGTTGGACCATTGGACTCCTTTTGTAGGACATAAAACATTTACACTGCTATAAACAGCTATTTCAGCCAAATACTGGACACCATAACAATACAGGACTGTCAATATATATAATAAATGGAAAGTAAATGATGGTGTTCAGAATAAAACACAACCACACATACATGGAGATATCAAATAATGAAATATACTTAAAGAAAAGGTATCCGTTAAGCTCACCTGAAACATATCCCCGTTCAGTGTGGCCGGCTCATCTCCGAAAGCGTCTGACATTGTTATAAGAAGACAAAGCTTAATGTTAAGATGGGCTTCTTGGGAGTTTTCCAGTTAGCTGTATTTCCTCATCATCTGGGTTAAACTTATGTTCACTAATAAAGCAGTGTTACTTTGTTCACAAGCTGAAAGTTACCACCTCAGAAATGCAGCAGCACCTGTTTGGGCACTGATGTTGTCTATACAGCTTTGGCAGCTAACAGGGCAGGTTTTTCCACAGCAGTGTCAACTGTTAGTTAGCCATTATAACTATATATATATATATATATATAATTTCTCATGCACTTTATTACCTTTAAATTATACTGCTGTATTATATATTTCTTGTCATGTGCAGTTATATTTATTTCTACACTGTGCCTCTACCTGCAGCTCTGACCTGTGCAGTGCTACACACCAATCACAGCTGCGTATAAAAAGGTTTATATAATTATATTAGTGTAAATATAATCGATATTTTCTCTATTTTTAATATATCTTATTCGATTTATACTTAATGTGAATTTCTTTACCTATTTTGTTGTATCTGGAACTGCTGTAGCAAGTGAATGTCCCCAGTGTGAGATCAATAAAGTCTCTTACCTTACTGCTACGCAACGTTACTTAACGTTACATGTAACGTTAAGTAACGTTGCCTGATGGTAAACCGTGTTAGTTAACCGTTACATAGTTACGTTACAACGTCAGGCTGTAGAATCCCTAACGTTTACTAACGTTTACCAACGTACGTTGTCACACGAACGCCCAACCGTCAGCCAGCTATGAGGCTAATGTAAAGTTACGTTGCTGTTAACTGTAAATGAGCCGGTTAACCGATGTTTACTGATAAACTGATCAACTAACTGTTGTTATTGATCACATAAAAGGTGGGGCTAGTCTTTGCTAACGTTACGGCTAGTCCGGTCAAAGTACCGGTAGGCAATTTTTAGCTTTCAGTTAGCTCGTGTGCTTGCTAGCGGACATTAGCTCAGTCACAAACTTGCCATAGTTGGCGGACGGCTGCGGCGGCTGTTGTTGGTCGTCTGCCTCTTCCAGCGACCCAAATCCCTCGCCGTCATTCTCTATCCCCGCTATCTCACTCTCCTGTTGGGCCAGAAAAGCTGCAGCTGGGTCCTCTTCCGCCGGGTGTGCTCCGTTGTCAGCCATCTTTCACAAAAGTGTTTACAAGTTTAACTGAGCTTGGTAGGTTTAGCCAGCTAACGTCGCAGCCACACACACACACACACAAAAAAAAAAATAAAATAGGCCACCGCTTCTGCGACGTTGATACAAAAAAACTTCAGTGTTTTACACGAATATCAGCAGACAAATGTAAGCAACAGGACTGAGCAGTTAAACAGTCTGTAACAAATCTAAGCTTCGACTTCAGGCCCTCAGTGGTGATTCATGATTTCTCCACTTGTTCTGCTACTGTGATGATGGAGCAGGGCAGCACCCAGAGGGTACCATTTCTCTTTCGGTGTAGTTTGTCTCCATCTGCTGGTCGTCTGCTGCATCGCTTTTGTCAGCTGGTCTGTGAGCTGTGTTTAATCAAAAAGCCGGACTAAATTGCAATATAATCTCATAGAGCTGTTTTAAATGTTAGTTTATCTTATACCAGTGATAACGAGCTTTATATAGCACGTCTCATACACAAAATGCAACTCAAACAACAGGTAAAATCTAACAAAAATATATATAATATTGATTATTATTAAAATACAACACACATATCAGCACCTAAGGTTTTCCTTTGTGGGACATGTTGCTGTCAGTGGGTGCCAGTTTTGTCAGTGAAATTAGAAATATTGTTCAAATGTGATAGAGAAATAACACACATGGCATTATATTGTATATCGTTCAACAGTATTAATGTATTCAGACCCTTTAACTCAACAAAAGTAGCAATAACGCTGTAAAAATACTCCATTGCAAATAACAGTGTATTCCATTTTATAAATTAACTTATTTAAGTACTTAGTAACATGTATTATCAAAAGCAAATATACTCATACAAAATGACCCCTTGTGTATATTTTTTACAACCTGGCAACCTTGAAGTTGTTCATATTAATGAGTCATGATTAATGAATCTAAATTATTTATTTAAAATGATTTAAAAAAATATTAAAGTATCCTTGTTGGAAAGGGGTACCCATAATTTATGCAATGTAGCTGATCAAGTTGGAGCTATTTCTGCTTTTCCTTTTATTTATTCTAATTTATTTGATTTGTAAGCCTATTGTTGGTTGATAAAACATTGTGGAGGTGCCACTTTGCACTCTAGGTGATTGTGAATTGTTCACCAGTTTCTGATTATTATTATTTCTTTATTTTTATTTATTATTTATTTTTTACAAACCAAACAATCAGTTGATTAATTGAGACAATAGTTAGTTAGTAATTAATCCATAATGAAAATAATGATTAGCTGCAGTCTTGTAGAAGACAGTTAAAAATAGCTCTACCTCAACCAACTACAGCAGTAAAACCCTGCTTTTAGATTAATGCATGTGTCATATGATCAATATATAACAGTCACAGAGGACATTTTTCTGCATTGAGTACAACTGATTATCAAGCTATCAAGGAAATAATTATAATTATACTTCAGAAGGTTGCATAGCGAAATGAGTGTTTGCAGCCCCCCATTAAGAAAGATAATTACATTCATAGAATAACATAGGAAATGAAATAAAGCAATATATGCAGATATTTATATCCATATATAGGATACATACACACCCAGCAAAGTAAGTAAGTAAGTAGGTAAAGCTTTATTTATATTTCTAACAAAGAGTTAGACAGTGCTTCACAAACAGACAAAGTTTACACACACACACACACACACACACACACACACACACACACACACACACACAACAACAACACATTTATATATAAATATATATATACATACATAGGAAGCATATAAATACAAACACATGGAAGATAAAACAAGACAGAAAGGATAAATTAAAGAGAGAGAACAGATGAGAAAACAAACAAGAAGGAGATCTATAAAAAAATATAGAGGAATTAGTTAATTTGTATGTTAACAGCTGAAACAGTAATGTTAATATGGTTCACCCTTTATTTACACTGTGATATCAACGCTTTTATTAAAGTAAAGGATCTAAACCACTGTTAAAAAATAACATCATACATATTATGTGTTTCCCTTTCTTGTGCGAATGGTGTGACTTCTTTTTTTTTTTTTAAAACCCTCTAAAACAAGTTTTAATTGAACTCATAGTGATTGATGTGTGCGTAAAGCGGCCTCTCCTGGTTTACAGCCGGAGTATGAAATGAAGCAGCGGCCCATGTGACTTCTGACGTCTCAGCCCGAGTCCTGCTAAAAGGAATTTGAGGGAATGATCCTGCTGCTCACCGAGGGGATCCACAGTGGCTTCCTGACGTCCGCTTTAAGGAAGTCCCAAAGTTAGCCCTACTTTTTTTGTGTGTGTGTGTGTGTGTGTGTTGTATTCATCCAGAAGAAGGCTTTGACTCGTGATGTCTGGCGAGCAGGAGAGACAAGAGGTAAAGCAGCTCAATGCGTTTCCTTTCGTGTACTAACTCTTTCTAACTTCCTCACGGTGTTGGGTTATTGTATGGGCTTGTGTGTTTGTTGCTCCTCATTGTGCAACTTTATGGCTGAGCTGCTCAAAAAAAAAAAAAAAAAAACACCATTTGGGATCTGTAGCGGTGCAAAAAAAAGAAAAGAAAAACTTTGTTAGATTATAAGTTTTTTTTGTCGTGTCCCGTCCTGCTACTGCTGCTGCTGCTGCTGTTGGATGGTGAGCTTTACTTGCAGGAGTCTTTGCCCTACAGTTGCCACTCTACTGTTCACAGAGGAGCCTGTAATTATCTGCTTGCAAATGATTGTCCTCTACACGCTGAAATCAATTAAAATAAAGCTACATAAGCTCGTAATTGCCTCTTAACCAGAAAAAAAGAAAAGAAATACGCGTGTAATTCAGTGTGTTTGAGGGCCCTCACGTTAAAAGTACAACTTCCTATAGAATTATTACAGTGACACCATAGGGGGATTATAAATAGCAATACCATAAACAGGGACAACGTCATTTAAATGAGTACCACAGGCATTGCTCGCATGTTTATTGGCTTAGGCTGATGATTTCTCCACTGCCTTAATATTTAATTGAACTGAAATGCATCCAGATTCACGCTGTTATTTCCACTGTCTTATTACAATCTGTATTAAAAAAAAGAAAAATCAATTTGCGGTGTGCTGCTATCACAAGAAAAAATCTAACTCCTATTACCTGTTGCTGCTGTGGGTCTTTTCCATTTTATTGTCTCCAACAGTCTGTCCTTCATAATTGATTTTTCTTAGCTCCTGGACTTCTCTATGGGAGGTGTGATATGAGAAAAGTGAACTAATCCAAGTTTTGGTAATTAAAATGTCTTTATTTTATAGTTTACGTGATCTTGCGCGAACACAAAAATGGATGCAAATGAAAATTCTAACCCTAAGGATGGGATTATTTGGGGCGCATGGCTGTTTTTTTAAGTAGTATTTTAGGGAAGGACCATAATACTACATTTTTTGATCTGTGAGCACATCCCTAATTCAGTTTTTCACTAAAAATGAGCTCTTCTGTTGCTTTAAGAAACTTCATGTTGAAATATAATTGCTGGTTTGGTTACACTGTGCTTCATGCCCTCAAGAAGGAGTGTAGAATTCCATAAGCTTTACTTCAGTTGTGGCTTTCTGCCGCTTCTCAAGTACACTTTAAAACAAATAAAAATAATCTATTGACTTTTATGTAGTAGGCCTTTGCCAGAATATGAGGGTAGTTGACGTTACCTCTCTCTCAGTCCTCCTCTACCCCCCTCTCTCTGTGACTCATGTGGGTGTTGGGCTGAAATAGTTTGGTGTAGTTTTACATTCCTTATATAGCCTCTGAGGAGTGAGGAGAGGCTAGGGCTCGCCTGTGTCACAGACAGTGTCGGGGGGTAGGGTTTGCCAACAGAGAGAGAATCTGCTTGCCCCAGCTTACTGACTCTCTAGCTTTTCTCCCAGGTTTTGGGCTATCAGCCGGCCCTTGAGGACAAGGTAGGTTTGCATGGTGGCTTCTTGGGTAGCTAGCTGTGGGTCAGGAAGGGCAGTGACACCTGGCAGGACTGAGGAGGAGGAGGAGGAGGAGCAAGAGCTGTGTTAGGGGGTTGCAGGTACAGAGGTCAGTGGTACAGCCATAACTTGTAAGTAAGAGCAAGTGACATAGCCCTACGTCTCAAGTTGCCTTTGGTTCTTAAAATTACCTGGTTATTTAGTGACTTGTCATGTAGTGATGTTGGCTGTGGTGAAGCTGTTTCATGCTTTTTTTATGCTTTCACAGTTGTACAAATTGTGAAAAATATTTAAAAAATCAAGGCAAGTTTGTATTTTGTGGGGCAGTGTTTCATTATAAAGACATGGTAATGGTTGTATTATTAATGGAATACAATGAGTTAGCTGTAGTCACTCAGAAAGAAAGAAGATAACTGTTGAATGTCACTGCTGTTCTTATTGTCCAGTAGATTTATGGTGCTGATGTTTTCTGTGGAACTCATTTGCATTGCAGTGTACTTCGTTGTTCTCTGAACTGGGCCTCTATATGAACGCTCTCCTCCGATTAAGACACAAGGGATAGCAACCTATTAGTTTGTGTTGATTAATGTTGGAACGTTGTGTCCCAGCGGCAGCTCTGGTGGTTTATTGTCGTGGAAGTTATGCAAATAGCCTAATTCAAATAGTTAAATCTGATTATTCAAACCAAAAGACACATTTAATTATTATAACATGGTTACTTGTATAATATAACTTTTCCAAGATCTAATACTATTTACTCTGAAATAAACAATTTCAGTGTTTCTATATGGAATGTGTGTGTTTGTGTTGGAAACCAATGCAGGCAACCAGCAGCTCGGCTGCTTGGATGAAACAGAAAAGGATGTGTGGCCTCAAAAACCTTTTTCTAGGCTTCCTGACTAATTAAGACCCTGTTTCCTCCTTTTTCTTCCCCAAGGCTATGAACGTATACTCGGTAACCCTCAGCGGCCCAGCGCCTTGGGGCTTCAGGCTGCAGGGTGGCAAGGACTTCAGCATGCCCCTCACCGTGTCAAGGGTAAGAAACTGTTTGTCACTGGAGTCAGCTTCTGTAATTCTCTGCATCTGTGATCACTGAGGTCTTTGTACTTGTGTTGCAGATTTGCATCCTCTAAAGTAATTTATGTTCCTCGAAGCTTCTATCTGAAACCTTTTTGTCTGATTCTGTTGGTGTTCAGTAGTCTTGTTCTCCACATGTGGTGTTCATTTTCACATCACTAACATTTGTATGGTATATCCAGTCAGTCTTAACATCCAGTGTCTTTGCTTGAATAGCAGTAATTGGTCACAAGGGAATGCTGTCGTTCGTTTCGCAGTGCTTTTAACTCTCCATGTTAGGTCACTGCCTCTTCACTGAATGAATTTTCGAATACTCTGTAAACTACTGTCACTATTAAAGAGAGCAGCAACCACTTTCCAGGCCTTATAAGTGCAGTGCAGAGTTGATTTGCCTGACAAACACACAGACTCTCACATACAGCCACACACGCATGCGTGCACATAAAATCATTCCAGCATTGCTGCCAGCTATTGCGCACACAGATCTAGTATTCTATCTTGCACTCATTCCCCCATTGACGTTGCTATATTGCTACCTTAGAGGCTGGGGTGATCTACTAATGTTAGACCAGATTTACATTTATTAAATCATCAATTCTGTTCAAAATGTGCCCTTTCCTATTTTAGAGATAATTAGGAGTTAATGGGTAATTATATGGGTCAGGCCTTAGTCTCACAAGGTTATCCCACTTAGTATTTCAAACACTTTCAAATCTTGGTTTCTTTGTGGTTGCCAAAAAGTCAGTTATAATGTGAAATTAAGATAAAAAGCTGCAAACAAATGATGCGCTATTAAATGTTACTTTTACTAGTATGTGTGTTTGCATCTCATGGAGGTGTATGTGTGTGTGCATAGAGCTGACGTAATCCTGTGGTGAGGGCAGCAGCTATCACCAGCCTTGTCAGTACATGTCTTGTATCTGCTCTGTTCTCTGGAAGGCCTCGCAGTCAGAAACACAATGTTCCCCTTGGATTTATGACAAGAACCATTTTCCTCTACCCATAAAAGACCAAACAGACAAAACAAACAAAAATCCGTATTTGACGAATGGCCCAAAACAAAACAGGGATTTTTGGTGAGGTATTGGTGTGTACTTTGAGGCATTTCAGTCTAGACTGGCAAGGTGTGCTGCAGGGTGAATGTGGGTGTGCCCTCAGTTGTAGCTGAGTAATCTTGACTAATCAGCCAGTGCAGGAGGCAAGTTTTTCTGCAATCCAGGTACATAACACATGCTGATTATTTTTCCTGGCTGACAGAAATATGGCTTGCCCAGATCAGTCCAAGCTGCTCTGTGTAAAATTGATAATGGCTCCCATTCTGAAAAAGAACAGCACTGCTAAGATTGAAACCTTAATGACTGGTCAGTGGCTAATATCTTTGTGGCTTGTTCCAGCAGGCCACTAGGCCTCTGGGGTACAGGAGCTATAAAGATGTGACAGGTTTTCTCTCTTTAACTCTCTGGGACTGTTGGCTCTCCTCGCGATTGTCATAAAAGACTGGACAGTGAATCACACGGTTGCAGAGGATGAAAACAACCCAACAAGGGGATGTAAACCTCAAAGATATACAGTATCCCTTAGTAACAGGAAGAAAAGTCAGGCCTGCACTCAGCGTGCTTACATTGGATGAATTTAGTGGGTGGTCTTTCTTTACTGGCTTTTAGCCGATGAGATAAGTATCTTGATCCAGACAGTTGGTGAAAAGCGATTACACAATGAAGAACATGTGGAGTGACAGGAGAAAAGGCTCAGTTAAATTGCTGTAAGGCAAAGAGATTGCAAGGGATAACTCCTGAAAGATCAATGCATTTAAGTGTTTGTCATCGTTGGATGACAATTAGTGTTGTTGAGACTGGATTTATTTAGAGCTCATAGTCATTTAGTTAATTAGAGTTTGGTCTTACTGTGGCAGATTGTGACAACATCAATCACTTCATATTTAATCACTTACCCTGTATTTGTTGTACTGTAAACCAGGATTCTGATAATCTTTGTATTGATTTAGAAAGTTGTGTCTTTGTAGCTTGTTACCTCCTGTGTGTGAGTTGCTATATAGGTTTTCATGCTCTATGAATGTGCTTGTTTCCTTCCTCCTCTGTCTGCGACCCTGGAAAGCTATGCTTTCTCAGCATTCCTGGGATTTTTCTCATATCCACCCCGTCGCTGCCAACAAACAATCCTCTTGTCTCCTTTCTCTGTCTAATATGTCTTCCACACTCACTTTTCTCGTGCATATGATGGACTCCCCCATTCTCATTGGAATACTTTAACAGTGAGATCAGAGGAAAGCAGACCATGCCAAGACAAACTGTTAAGGCGCTGTGAAAGGAAAAAGTAACTATTTGACCTTAGCATAACATGTACACACCCATTTATCATCTGAAAAAATATGTACATAACTTTTAGTTGGCTCTTTTTAATATCAATATCCCACTTTTAGTTTTCCTAGCCTTTTGTTCGTAGATGCACAAACATTTCTAACCAGTAAAGAAATTGTTCTCTTTCCCTCTCACCATCCCATTTAGTAAAAACAAAGGAAAAAGAAAATGAGAGAGCATTGCCTTTCTCTGTTTATCTGAAAAGTCATTATACCCCTTTCATTCTGACACAGTCATACTGTGCACAGCCATTTGTGTCAGTAGACGTGGGTTCTTTACCCTCCTCCCAGCCTGGGATGAACATGAGTTGGATGCTGCTTGGCACTGGTGAGCTGACATTTCTATTATAGGGTTGGGAATTTAATGTTAGTGGCATTCATATGGTATTTAAAAGATCAGTGTGTAAGATTTAGGGGGATCTACTGGTAGAAAATGGCAGAAATGGAATATAATATTCACAGGCATGTTTTGATTAGTGTATAATCACTTGAAAATAAGAATTGTTGTGTTTTTGTTACCTTAGAATGAGCCTTTTTATAATTACAGAGGGAGTGGGTCCTCTTCTGTGGAGTCTGCCATGTTGCACCACCATGTTTCTACAGAAGCACAGAATGGACAAACAGTGGCTCTAGATAGTTCTCTGTAGGTTCTCCTACACGTTCAGTTGGAGAGGGTGAGGTGAGGGGTATTCAGGTTTGTTGCAATCTACAGTCTCACAGCTAGAAACTACTAAATCCTACATACTAGACCTTTTTTTAATGGGTACTCTAGCAATTTAAGTATTGTACGTCCCTAAAGTTTGTGGACTTGCTTACCAGAAACACTGGATCCTGCATTTCCCATGATGCAGTTTTTTTTTTCAGCTTTATGTGGTAATCATGTAATGTAAGTCTGTGGTCTTGCAGTAGTGTTTCTTCTACGGTTGTTAACTGAAGTCTTTGTGAACGCTGAAGGATTATCACCTGACAGCCATCTCATATGAATGGGTCAAACAAGGGTTAAATGTCCAGTGGGCTCCTCCTATGAAAACTGATCTCTGAAAATCTTGAGAGTCAGTTGAGTAGTTTGATCTTTTCCAGAAACCGCCTACTGTGTCTCTATCCGTTTCTAACCAACATTTGTGCCAACTTTTTATCACAAACTTTCCTGGACTTCTGTGACCTTGAAAAGACGGAGGTCTACTAATGTAAAATTATATCTCTCTCCACATGTCTGCCCCAACATCCTGCTTGAGCAGGAAAGGCATAAAATGTAGGAAGCAAGATGTCGTCGTAACACTGCTTGATTGCCGCTTCAATTGAGTCTACCCCAGTCTGGGGCAGCACTACAACTCGCCCGAGGAGTTCCTCCATATATCTGCCCCAGATCTCGTGCCATTGCTATTCCATAAACATTATGATGCCATAACCGAGCCTCCTGAGCACCATCTGGTTTCTATCGACAGACACATGCCACACCGCTGAAATCAAACGTTCAGAGGAAATCACAGATGATGTCAAGTCAATAAGCAAGTGGGGAGATTTGTGAACGTCTCTACCACCGCAGCTGGATGTGTCATCAAGTCTTATATTCCTGTTTCTCTGTGTGCGAATGTCTCTGTCTGACATGTAGACCATCTGTTGCTTTATCACTTGTATACTCCTAAACACTCCCCCTCTCTCTCTCTGTCTCTCTCTCTCTCTCTCTCTCTCTCTCTCTCTCTCTCTCTCACACACACACACACACACACACACACACACACACACACACACACACACACACACACACACACACACACACACACACACACACACACACAAACTCAAGGAAAAGAGGCCTTGTTAGAGGGGTGGATTAATAATTCAGTGCTTACTGATGGATAGCCCACAGGGGGCATTTCTTGTGTGGCTGGTTAGATGTGAATGTCTTATGTTGTGATCAGTGCAGCAGTGTTTTAAGGTGAGTTAGTGCTAGGTGTTCCACTGCAGTCATTATGGGGGGAACCACATACTTGCAGGTTTGGTTTTCCATTTCTCAGAGGGATATTTATGGCTTTGCATCAGCTGTGCCGTGTGAGTGATGTAAGGACAGACTGTCTCTCGGCCCCCAAATAGCCGTGGAAAGAATAAAAGTGAACTGGTGCAGAGTTACACGGCCAGTATATCCACAGCCGTAGATAAACTTTAGTGCATTATTAGTTTAACCATAAACCAGAGTAGCCATCCCAGAGCGAGTATGAGGCCATGGCTCACCTATAGGGTCAGTCAAGGAAAGCACTTCAAAGGTGAATTCAAGACGTTGCATTTTGAAAGGTTGGCTAATGCTTTGAAATTCGATAGCATACCAAAACAGCTCTGCTGCTCTGCTCTGCCAAAAAGCCTTGAAACAGGCTACTAACTGTAAGGCTAACCCTGTAGTTGTGAATACCTTCAGTTGCACAAACGTCATGCCATTAGTGTGACGTGAGTTACAATCATATTTGTGCAAAATCACATATGACAGGATGAGTCTGCTTCTCGTGTCAGGAATTTTCCATATCAAAAATCCATCTCTGTGGTATCGCTGCAAGTGGATGTTATCATACATCATGCATTCAGGAACATGTTTTCCACTGTCCTTCGCCGTATTGACAAACTGCTGGGGGGGTATTGGGTTTCCACCACCCCCTACCAACCAAAGGTCTGAGCGCAGCAACTTTAACTGCTGCCTTCTCAAGTGAGGGAGCAGCTGCACTCTGAACCTGAGCCAGGAGCACAGGTGTCTGTGTCCATCAGTAACTTTGCTCACTCAGACAGACATGCACGTATACAACCTACAATCTTAATGGCTTCATATTCTCACATATTCTCTTTTTGTTTTTCTTTTTATCTCATCTTATATTTAGAGGTTAGCCACATAGGTCAGATCTTCAGTAATGGTTTGTAATTCTGCAGTACACGCAGATGGGTGACAAATTGAAGGAAAACCAACATAAAATGTCTGAGTAAGTCGTAGACTGCCACCAGCCTCCAGAACAGCTGTATACAGAGGAGCAGTGACCTTCGTTTAGATTCTCCATGTCTCTGAAACCGTTTTGATCATTGATCATCGATTTTCAGCATTTTCACATTCATCAAACCAATCAATGACCCCTTGTGCTCTGTTTGGGAACATTTGCATTCATTCCTTTCTTGTGTCCCTCACTTATTCAGTATTAATTATTCACAATTTTTTTTTAGAAAAATCAAAAATAGAATAACTTTGGCTCTTTCATAGACCAAACGTCCAAACCCATGTCAGGGTTGGCTTGAAATAGCTTTTATTACCCAATGTTATTCTCATAAACAGGTTTTTTTTATTCGTAGTGAAAACACAACAAAATGTTAAAGAGCATTATATAAGAAGACACTTTAGCAATTAATTAGTATTCTTTGGTGTGTAATGCTTTAATGGGCGTTCTATGTAAAGTCATCATATTTATCTGTTAGATGATGATAGATTCAATTGGAGCCGGTCTCATTGTGTTGGTGTTATTTAAATAATGTCAATTGTTGTGTTAGTGTATACTGACGAGTAGTGAGAATATGTATTTTTCTTTGTCACCATGTGAACAGGAAAAATGCCTGCTGTGATGCAGACACTAATTAGGATCTTAATAAACAAACTAACAAACACACACACTGTGATTGGATTGTTCATCTTTTATGCTGCATGGGTAGCTACTACTGTACTGGCTAGTAACACTTTAACACCTCTGACTTTTAAAGTAAATTAATTAGGCTCATGAGAAATGCTGTTAAACACTAACAAGATCATGGTTTTATTTTGGTAAAAAGACGTGGTGCTCAAGTTTTACTATGAATTATAGTACTATAAAAGTGACTCTCTCTAGTGACTTTAGTGGCATCAAACCAGATTGTGCCCCTTTTTCAGAATATGTCACTTATGTCATAGTTGTTTTTTCCCAAGTGTAAAACTTTTAAGTTCTTTCCAAACTGGAGAAATTATTTCTTCCCTAACCCCTTTAATTGCTTCCAGTGAGTGCAAATCAAAGGCAATTAAAGTGAAGTTTGAACTTGGCTGTAAAATAACTGTAGCTAGGATTGCCTCGAAGGAATGCATTTCTTCCTATTTTTAGCTTTTGCCATGTTTGATTCAAGGCAGGCTTTAACTTTGTTGTCTTTGTGGGATGCGGACTACTTTTTCAGCCCGAGCTGTCATCGGTTTACAAAGCATATTACCTCCCTGCTCACGCAAGTGTTTATGTTTAATGTGCAGAATCAAAGCGCCAAGTGTGATAGCTTAGCTGAACATGGCGGAACACTATTGATTGAACTGCAGAGTCCTGTGAGCTTTTGATGAGCTAACATTTGCAGGGATCCATGACATCAGAGAGTAATCCTAATAGGTTTTTTGCCAGAAATCCTGGCACTAGCTGACTTATCTGATGTTGAACACTTTGTACTCCAGTTATCTGAGAATTTGACACAAGTCTCGAGTTTCATTAAGCCGCACAGGCAAGCTGACTAAGCCCTTACTGAACACGCTTTGGAAATTCTGCCATCTCCTCTAGAACCACTAATATCCAGTATAGTCTACGTACATGTAGAAAACCATCACGCCCTATATAGACTATGACAACTTCTTCCTGTTTGTAACAAGACTCCAGCTGTTTTCTCTGACTCAATATGTCTGCAGTCTGAGTGACAGCCCCGAGAGGATGATGTCATTCTTTTGTCAGTGAAACTGGCCAGTCACTTACCTGTGTGAATGGAAAAAGTAGATGGGGCTGTTCCAGTAAATGATGTGATTATTTCTAACATATGTTTCCTGTCTGCAGCTTTTAAGAGTTTCCGTCATAGTCTCAGGTCACATCTGCAGTAAATCACATGGTGATGACTGATGACATCACGATGACCTATAATGCCTGTTCCCGATAGTGTTGAGTGAAATATCTCGGCTGGCTCGTCAGACCCAGACACACAGACTCCCTGAGTTGATCATTAAGTGTTGTTAACAGACATAGCAGCAAAGTCAACAAAACATGACTTTTTGTGTGTTTAGATTTCCAGCATTTTGCTTTGAACTGCTGATTATATATGAGATAATGGTTCTTTTTTCACAGAAAATTTTGTTTTTCTTCTTGAGACATGATCTGCCAACTAATTCATCTAATTAGATGAAGGTTAAGTCATAACATTTATGTTTTTTCGCCCATTAAGGGATCATTGGCTGTGAGATTTTATAGTTACTATTGGTGCCTGCCCCTCATTTTTCCATCCCCATAACTGTCATCTCCTGAGAAAATCCTGTCCTCACGTACCTCTAACTGCTTTCTGTTTCTGTGTTTTCTTTCTTACAGCTGACCCCGGGCGGGAAGGCAGCTCAGGCTGGTGTCGGGGTGGGAGACTGGGTGGTGTCCATCGATGACGCTAATGCAGAGGACATGACCCATGTGGAGGCACAAAACAAGATCAGAGCAGCAACAGACTCCCTCACCCTCACCCTCAGCAAGTAAGTCATTTGGCAATGCATGATGCAACAGCAACACTACATGATCACTCACCCCCCCATTTTATCTCGGTCAAACACAGCAGCATAAATCACCACAAAACGCGCACCCTCCTTCATTCTTTTGGAGAGATAAAATACCTTAATGTCCTTGAAATTTGGCTCCACATGACAGATAGTTGCAAAACACATTTGTATTGAAGTTATCATCACACGCACACATTCTAGTATTTCATTTCTCCTTTGACTTAAATTCATTTTTGGGGTAAGACTTGGGCTTGAATTTAATTTTACTCATAAGTCAGAGCCTCACCATTAAATTCTGTCAAAAAAAGTAATTATCTCTGCCGGGGAGGTTTTCAATCCTGTCTTCCTCGTTGTCTATTACAGTAGATTTCTTTTTTTTATTCAATAGGTTTTGGTGAAAAGTTAGTCTATGAGCCAAAAAAGAGCTAATTAGGTTTTGGTAAAGATATCACTACCACATGGTAATTATAAAGCACTTTATGTTGTTGGTCATCAGTCCGCAACTGTGAGTGTAAGAAGAAAAAATATTTCTGGTCTAACCTGTATCTTTGCATAAAGGTGTGCCAAATTTCCCCATACATCAATGTATGTAGCATATTTAGGTGGTCGGTTCATAGATTTTTCTATTAATCCTATGCTGTTTTCTTAAAAGATTTTTGCTAAAGTCTTGCTGGCATGGCCTAGTAGAAACAAATTTCAGACGTATCAGTACATTGTGCAATCACAACCACATTTATGAGTGTAACAGCAGCATGATAGATTTCAGTTGCTATTACTTAGCAGTCATGAGTCTGACCTGCTTGAAACTTTGCACAATTAAACCTTGTACGAAGCAAATTTTCCCAGGATTTAGATATTCTCCAAAACTCTGCATTATCACCAATTAATATATGTACTTTGAAATGCAGGTTTAACACATCTGAACAGTGTCATTTATGAAAGTAACAAGAGGATTGTGCAGTATTGGAGGTGCATGCTCTCTGATTTCTTTCTAGCTTAATATTACAGGAATAATCTGTCTCTATCATCCTAAAGCAGCAAGAGCAGGGATGATTAGTCTCCATTTAGCTGCGGATATGCATGCCAAGCAGATACACTGGCCTTTGTTCGGTTGAAATAAACCATTTTCAGAGGAGCCATGGGTACCTTACGTTATGCCTCAGCTTTGTAATGAAATTAGAGCAACTCTTTCTTCAGATTAAAACACTTTGTTGTTAAGTGTGAGCCAGGAACATCAATGTCTTTCATTTTGCTTGAGTTATTTTAATTAGCACTGGATAACCTTCATACAGGCAGGTACTCATACCTGCTCACATAACTCCTGCCAGAAATTCCTGACTGATAAAGTATCTCTGTAGAGTACAAGCCAAAATGTTTCATCAGGAGCTTAATTATAAGAAAAAGGTTTCCCTCCCAAAAAAAAGATGGATGTAACAATTTAAGAGCTCAAAGCCTTCAGAAAATGAGAAGGTGCAGACGTGTTAAGTAATAAAGATGAGCCTTGCAGCAGTCATGGGTCTCGTTTTGATTTTGTGATACTCGTAGCTAAAGAGGTTGTGATCACAGCTGTAACACGGCTATTTTCACATCCAGTTCATTTTGTTATTGCCTGTCAAGAGATTCAGCTGTTACATTCTGACAAACTTTCTTTGTTCACTGTTTATTGAGAGTCAGAACAGCCGCAGGTCATTTATGACTTTCCGGAAGAAAACAGCCAGAACATAAACTAATACACTTTCCAGAAGAAAACAGCCAGATCATAAACTAATACACTTTCCAGAAGAAAACAGCCAGAACTTGAACTAATAGTTCAGATGTGGAGATCATGGTGGACATGTGCTGCATATTGTTTATTATATGCCTGTTTCTGCAGAGATCACTAAATCCAGTTGGCCCTACCAGTCTATGTGTTCCTGCCAAACATTAGCCAGTTCTCAAATGTGAAAATGTTATGCTTTTTATTGTTATACATGATTTGAGACTTTGGGTTTTGGACTGTTAGTTGGACAAAACAAGACATTTGAGGGCCTCGCCTTGGGCGGTGGGAAATAATAAGGGCATTTCCCACATGTTTCTGCCATTTTATAAGCAAAACAATTCATTGAGAAAATAATGGGCACATTAATCTATAATGGAGATAATCGTCAGTTGCAACCCTAATACAAAACAAATGTTGAACACAACTGATAATGGTGGTGTTGGCATCAATTCTGAGACATAAGGAGAGGAAACAAAATACTAAAATACAGAAGAGCGAGAGAGAAAGAGTAGAATAAATAAGATGGGTGGGTGGAGGTAGAGCAGAGTACAGAGAATGTTAAACTTAGGGGGATCAAAGGCAGATTTTTGAGGTGGGAGTAAGATGCCAAAGAGATATTATAAAAGATCAGGCTCTTTACCAGCAAAGTGCTGCAATCCCTGTTTTCCATACAACCAACAAGGCACATTGCTGATGTTGCATGTATTATTTTTTCCTGCAGAAAGAGGTCACGCTACACTTCGACCTACTAAATGCCTTAAAAGGAGTGTGAGGGAGAGAGACTCATGGGTTGGAGTTTCAGAGTGAGAAGGGAAAGGGAAAGAAGAATTAGAAAAGAGACAGTGAGATTCTTGTTGGCCTCTGTGGTGACGGGAAAATAATCAAGAAAAGTGAGGTCATGCTCTCAGCAGAGGGATGGATGAGGGTTAGTCAGTTATCATACATGAGCCAGATGTGCCCCCTTCTGCCCTGTCTGTAAGTTTGCTGTGGTCATTTCCCTTTCGGTCTATGTTTTATCCCATTCAGTGGTGGTTTGGTTTATTTCTTATGAGAATTTCCCATGTGAAGGAAGATGAAATTAGGGCGTTGGTGTGTGGTATGTGTTGGGGATTATTACACATCATAACTAACTGTGACTTTGTGAGTGAAATCTTGTTTAAGAAATTCATTTCAAAACAAGTTGTAAGTCTTTTTAATGAAAGAATGAGTGGTTTTCTTCTTTCACCTTTATCTCATAGGGAGTGGTGTAATGTTTTGATGGACCTGTAATAAGCCAGCATGTTTACTTAACACCAGCCTTACTTTTCCTGCGCCCTGTGCCGTCTCTATTTCTCTTCTCCTTGTGGAGTCCAGCTATTGTAAATATTTCACATTCTTTCACTCTTTTTTTTTTTTTCTTTTTACCCATGACTCCCTTCCCATGAATCCCTATTCTCCTCTCTTCATCTCGCCCTCTCCCATTGTTATTATATTGTAAGACAAGCAAATATTGTTTTTCTGAAACACTTCTCGGAGAGGAGCTATTGTCAGTTTTATTTATCCGTATCTTGGCTGCCGTCCACAATTTCTTTTATGTCCAGAGAGGAGGACACCCGCACGGCAATGAGATATGGTCTATTGTTTGGTTTAGTGCCTCATTTTGTTCAACACCAATGATGATCTCCTGTCTGTTTTATGGTAAGGTTTAGGCTTTACCCGGAGCCTTTTTATAGGGAGTGGAATCAAAACAATATGGACAATAGATTTTTGACTTCAGAGAAAGGCGATCGTGTTTCATCTACAGGGACACACTAGGTCCGCATTTCAGTGCTCACTGTCAGTGAGGGTTGCCTAGAGGGTTGCGGTTAGAGTATATCAGTAACGTGTGCAAAGTTGATTATAGTATCAGGGGAGATTTTTTATTTTTTTTGTGCTGAAATTTCTGACTTTATCTAACATCAGCCAGCAAGCCGAGCATGCACTGGCTCAAATAAGTGACCCATGAAATGAGGCAGGAAATGATCTCAGAGTGGATATTCAGTTTGAGCGCAGGTCAAACGTGGACCAAGCAAACTTATTCCATGAAACAGCAACGTCATACACATTCCTTATATCCCTGTTTTTAAGTGTGACTCATGAAAATGTGGGTTAAGGCGAGCTGAAGCACTATGTATGTCACATTGATTTCTCTTCCCAGAAGTGTGACACGCACAGACATGTCAGTATGCCTTCCCTTCGTTCCTCTCTCTGTATCTATACAGCCCTGTTGTCATCCTGTCTTTACCATCGCCCAGTCAGTAGTTGAGCAGGCAATGGCATGAGCAGTTATTCATTTCTCATTGTCACAGGAAGCGCTGTCTGTTGTTTTGTGTGTGTGACTGTAGCCTGAAAATGCAAGGCAGGTTCATTCTTGCTCATAGCTTTGTGTAGCATGCAAACACTGGTCAGGGGGTGGTAGTAGTTTGTGTTTAGCTATTTTAAGAGCCAGCAGCAATGTAAAGGTGGATGCCTCCATGTTTAATGTGTAAATACATTTAAATGAACCGTCTGCTGTGCTGCTCTATTCAGCGAAGGCACCACAGTCATGTGAATCCTGGGATTAGAGTTAAGAAGTGTACAGCACTGTGGCACTTGCAGTATTCTTAGCTGTGTGGGTGAATCTGCACACAGCCCAAAACTATGTAAAAAGTAAGGAGTTTGTTGGTGTTTGAAAATCCCACCACAGGGAAAACTTCAGCGTTTTCACGACCTGCTTCTTTCCGCCCATCATCTCTATTGCTTGGAACATCTTCGCTTATAAGCTTAATTGTTGAGATATGGGTGTGAGGGGACTCTTGAGACAACATTACAGGAGATTGCATGGGGCATTTCAAACACAGGCAAACAAGTCCAGTTTAACCTAATTATCTAAACTCAATTCAACGCAGCTTTATTTATATAGCACCTTTCATACAAACATGCAGCCCCAAGTGCTTCACATAGCAAATTGAAACAACACATAAAAACACAATGAACAACCATAAATAAAATTGTGCTACGTTAACATATGAAAACAAAGGTTATAGCCAAACTGTCAGTTGTAAACATCCTGAATCCAATAGTAGAATTTGCAGGGGTGTTTCTTGGCTCATGTAGTTTTATGATGCATTGGATTATAATAGACGTTTTGAGTGTGTTTTTTTTATTCCCTCAACTCCCTGTTGACAAATGGCCAAAACTACATTAATAACTCTTGTAAGAAAAAAAAAATAATTTTCCTGTAACTTATAACTGAGGTCAGTCATTAGTCTTTGTGCAATATGAGCTTGATATTTAACCTTGAGGTTAACTGGTACTGTGTGGTCAGAATTGGCTTAGTTTTTATTCTTTGACTGAAATATTGCTGAAAAAATGTTCTTAAATTTTATCTACTAATAACAGTCCTTGTATCTTCTGTTCACAGAGCTTTCAAAGCGGGTGGAGACCAGAAGGTAAGACAATATTTTTCTGACCCATTGAGCTCACCTCTGTGTGAACACGTGGATGCGTTGGCATGGTCTGCTTCTGGACTACAGTGACACTGATTGAATTTGAAACTTCTTTTAATCGTGGCTCACAATTGGCCTCAACAGTGTGTTATGTCACTTTGTGTTTAAAATCACCTGAGTCACCTGTCAAGCTCACACAGAGTCCTGCACTGTACATTAGCAAAGCATCAGTGAGTCGCTAAATGAGTTGTTTGCTGGATGGAGTGCTGTGAATATTGCTTTTGGAATTTTTCCTGTGGTTCATTTTGTGATGCCTTGCACAATCCCTGATACCAGAGTAACACTGATACATTTAGTTTCACTGTCAAAGCACTTGAGAGCTACTTAGTTACAGTTTGAATAGTACAATGGTGTCATGAACTGCTTTGTGCTGCACGCTGTTTTCAGTAAAGCAGCTGGAAGAAATGTTAATGCTTTCACAAAGTCAACGTTCCTTTTTAGTAGGTGTTCTTTTGCAGTCTGTGCATAATGCTCAGTGAGAAATCTCATTAGTGAGACATGTCAGTCAGATATGACAATTTCTCACTTGGAGCATTTTCATTTTACCAGCAGTAGCAGATTACTTTGGCCAGTCTGTGGAAGACTGCCAACACAAATAAAACAGCTGTGTTCACACTTCTTAAGCACTTCTTTCGTGTGCAGAGAAAAGCCGGCAGGCTTTGACAGAGCTGCTCCTGCAGCCTGGAGTTATTATTTTCTATGAGAAAATATTGGCCCGCACTGAAAGCTTTCTTAACATAAAGCTTGGGATTGTGCAACAGCAGAAAGAACTTTTTCTGTGTCAAAAATGTAACTGCATGTTGTGCGCTGTGCTGCATTGTCTCCCTCTCCCTCACCCTCATAGGACTCACTTGCTCCGGCTTCTGTTCAGCCAAAGTACTCCTTTGCCCCCAGCACAACAATTAACAAGATGGCGAGGCCATTTACACCAGGTGGTGGTAGTGCCAACTCAGGACCTGCTATTAAACCTGTGGCCTACTCGCCTAAACTTAACACTCCACGCTCACAGGGCCGTGCCAGCATGCAGCAGCCACAGAATGGGTAGGTGGATAAATAAACACAATTACCTTTGCAACCACAATGTGACTAATGTGGTTTCACTGGTAAATTTGATGTCTTATTATTCTGGTTTTAAAATAACTCCTTCAAGATGTCTGCATAGTGTTAGGAATTTATTCAGTATTTTGCCAAAATGATGTCAGATTTTAAGAAACATTCCAGATAAAAACACATGCTGACTCACTGCTGAGATTAACTTAAATACTATTTTAATATTTGAACAAACAAGATGTCAAGTACGCGATTACTTTTTTATAAACTTGTGCTATTGCTAAGCACACCAGCAGTAATAAACTGCTGTTATAGATTGTGTCATGATATACTCTGGCTACAGAATAATTTAGGGGAAAAAGGAGGAGGTTGTCAGCTTTTTGTCAAAACAGACCCAAATGATGTCGGCCTTTATCATTCAGATGAAAGCAAACACTTCATAGCAGGGAATATTTAGCTGACATATGCAATTCAAGCCAGCTTCCTCCAGCTGAAAGACCTCTACAGTGGAAATGGAACAAAAACTGTTTTACAGAGTCTAGTGAAGGATGTGTCAATAATCAGTCAGTTTTATGACCTTGTAAAATCTTTTTAATGTTTTCTGTGGTTGTGTTTAGCCACTGTAGACGTTTTCATTTATTTATTTATTTATATATAGATTTATTTTAGTTCCTATCATCCTCACTATATTTGTGATTATGTCTCTGTGTGTGGAAATGGAAAATAGTAAGACTTTTAAGTTTAGTAAGAATGCGTCACACAAAATACAACAGACGCACTTTGAGGCAAAAAAAAAAATCACCTTTTACAGAAGTGATTTGATTTGAAAAGTGTTACTGACTGACTGTGATTACTACTTGTAAATTTTATCATTCACAAATGGTTGAAAGGAAGGTCAATGAAAATACTTTTCAAAACTTTACTCTGCACTAAACTTTGAACTAAATTGTATCTTAGCTTTTAGAAGCTGTGAAACTGCACTCGCTTTGTCACTTTGTACACTTTCTACATCAGACAGATGTCCTCCAGTTCCACATTGAATTACAAATCTCTATTTGCATTATGCTTAAAAATAATTTTATTTAGTGGTGATGTCACGAGAAACTGGAAATTTTATTTTTACACAAGTTCCACGATTCTCTCCGCATTTACCACACTGCAGAAATTATAGGGCTGTGCAGCTATACAGCCAGTTATCTGTCACATAAGAGTACTAATGATGGAAAGTCTTGGACACGGTGCATCTTTTTAATCTTTTTAACCAACAAAATTTTTGAGTAAAATACATTTTATGGGCCAAAAGTTAAAATAAGGTCTTACCAGCTCTTAGATGGGGCCCCTTCTCATATGTTGACCCTCAATTAAGTTTGTATCAGTTGTGTTGGGAAAGTGAATCTTCTCTCCATAAAAACTTCATTCAGTTTGTCTTCTGATCTTTTGGTTGTAAAATCTGGAACCCCTCCAACCTCCCCATGGTAACTTGGTTTCAAAGCTGCTGTCATCTCGACTGTGTTTTGAAATAAGGTTAACGTGGGCACCCTAGTAGCTCACCTGGTAGGCTTTCAGTCCTTAATGCAGCAGCCCGGGTTCTAGTCCAGCCTTTGCCCTTTGCTGCCTGTCTCTCTCCAGCTGTCATTATCAAATAAAGCCGCAATTCCAAAGCGATAATGTAAAAATAGACATTTCCTATGACAAAACTCTCTCTCCCACAATTACATCAAATAAATGTCAGAATTCTCCAGTCTTTATTTTACGGTTCCGTTTTTAGATTTTACAAGGATTCCAGAAATGGATAAAAAAAACGCATTTTAAATCATCCTGGAAGTGGCAGTGTAGCATGAAATGGTCTTGGATCATAGACCAGTCTGGTTCCTGTAATTTGGGTCATGCTAGTGGCCTTACTGCAGCCATTGGTGAGACGTGGTCTGTTGCTGTATTTAGCCTCACTCATGAATTGTGCTGCGTTCTCACACAGCTTTTACTGCCCCGGTGCTGGATTATTTAAGCAGCCTTGCTTGCTTACTCTGGAGAGGGCTCACGTGGTTGTGAAGTTTCTCTGCAGATGGTGGAAACACATTCCTGCAGCCATCTTTAAGAAGACTGGAGAGCCTAATTATAACCGTCAGCCCACTGTTGATGAAGACATTGTTGGATGTCTCCAGACGGCAAACAGTTCGATGCAAACAGCACATGTCTAATGTGTCCAGGCCTGCCGTATTGAAACAGGTTTTGCGTGATCTTGTTTGTACACAGCTTACTGTGACATCATGATGAGTCACTGCTGTGGCATTTATTGTTGTTTACAGAGTATCAAAGGATCAATTAGAATAACTGTGATGGCAAATCAGGCAATGGCTCTTTTTTTTTTTCTGGCAAATTCTCCAGCCATTTACACAACTCTAAAAGCATTTGTGCACATGGATGAGAGGCACGTTGAGCAAAGGATTTGTGCCAAATAGACTGAGTCATTTTGGGTCACGGTAACAATAGGTCATTTGACAGACAAACAATGCCGTCTTTGTCTCACAGAGCCTGCTGACAATAACAGCATGTCTCATGTCACTTGCATGTTTTCTGCATCCTGTAGTAATTTTGCTCTCACGTTGTGTAAAACCTCTGTCATGTATTGACATTTTCTTGTTTTTCTTCTGTTTAACTCAAAATTGAACTCTGACCCCTCTCCCTCATTTTGTGTTTCCCTCTTTTTATTTTAACACTGCAGATGGAAACTCTTGACAAGTTAGTATATTTATTTTCATTCACAGTCCAGAACAAAATGTTTGCTTGTTTGCCTTTTAAATTGCCATTCACACTAAATGATTCCTGTCCTTTATTTACAGTGGTTCACAACCTTTTTGACTTGTGACCTCCTAAAACAAAGCATTGTGTGCTTGCAACCCCTCTTAACTTAAAATTATCCAACAAAGGGATTATATTGGAACAAAGATTATACAGTGTATCTGAACAGCTGTTTTGCTATCCTGTTAGTTGACCGTCAGTTTGAGAACCACTGCTCTATTACAATCCAAGTGGATTAGGAAAAAACAATAATTTCTGAAAATATTTACTCATCAAAATCTCTTACTATTTATTGAGTTCTCCTCTGTCTTCTGTCTTTTCTCTTTAAACTTATTGCAATTTGTCTTCATCTCATGTTTGGTCTATTCCACAGGGGTGAAGCAGCTTACTATGATCTGTACCAACAATCAAAGTAAGGGGCAGCTGCATGTAGGCTGGTTTGTCAGCTTGTTGGTTAATACGGCCACGCTAGATATGACAGGAGGGGTGAGCTGATGCTCTTGGGTAGATTAAAAAATTGGGTTTACAGAACAGAGATGGAACAGACAAATATGCCACTTCATTAGTAACCATTCCTCTTTCATCCTTGATTTGCTTGTTGATAAATGCATGCCAGAGTTGGCCCGAGTAACTGTGCTGAAATGATATGTGTTGGAAATGAAAAGCATTTTTTGTGCTTGTTTATCAAATTAAAAGCTTTAATATGTTGTAAAATCTTTCCAGAAATGAGGCCAGGTACTCTAGCCTGACAGCTTTTCTACCACTGACTCTAATGAATGTTATAAATACAATCTCTGATGTGGTAATGTCCATTTATGAGAGTCTATAGTGTACCCATGAGAAATCGCAGTAATGGTTATCCATTAGCTCGCTTAATGCGTGACCGTGATGCTGAGCATTAAGTGTTGCATGATCTGTTCAGGGTGTCCTCTATTTTCAAGGTCACCTGATTAGCTAGGTTGGTGTGAGTAGGTAATCGCTATGTGGGATTGTGTTAACTTGCGCCTGCCGTGTGCTGCTGCTGGGTGTTTGTGCAGGCACGGCCTCAGGGTGGAGAACCTGCCCTGTTTTATCCCCAACGACCGCAGCAAGAAGAGGCTGATCCAGGACACTGAGGACTGGCAGCCCCGCACCGGCACCACCCAGTCCCGCTCCTTCCGCATCCTGGCCCAGCTCACAGGCACCGACTTCAGTAAGTCGGGGACCATGCCTGGCATACTCAGTAGTAGAGTGAGACAGAGAGTGATGGTTTGCGGGTGGGTTTCTCCTGGTAGTCAAGATGAGGTGTGTAGTCCTGTGACTGAACAGTTGATCTGATGCAATCTGATCATGGTGAGAGTGACAGCCGAGTGAGTGACACAGGCAAGGTGGATAACAGGGGTGTCCATTTTTCAGCTTTGGAGAGGGGCTTCAACTGTCGGGTGGCTGCCTTCTTCAATGACACCTATTTTGTCACGACTGTAACCAATCTGGCAAATCAACTGCACGTCTTCATGTTTATTACAACCAAGGCTGTGAAGGAACAGGTCCATTTAATATATTGTATACTATTACTTATGGTGTTTGATATACAATCAGCTGTTTGACTGTCAGTCAAAACAGTAGGTGTGTGTGTCACCGTCTTTATCAGTAAGGCGTGCTGATGTGTGTCTCTCCTGGATCTCTCAGTGCAGGACCCAGATGATGAAACCATGAAGAGGTCCAGGTAAAAACTTGAGTGTCATTGATTTGAACATGTGCGCCTCCTCGGTCACAAGTGATTGTGTTTGTGCATTTGTTTGTGGATGCTTCAGTTTGGCAATTATTTCAAAAATAGTCGCACCATTTTAAATCTACCTTTTTTAGTTATATGTTGTTGTTGGAATTTTGCTGCTTTAAACACGAGCGTGTGGTGTGATTTGGACATCTTTTGTATTACTAGAGACATACTAGATAATATTACTATTACTATTATCTGCTTCATATCATAATTTTCCTTTTTTAAGGAAATGTGAAGTGTGCTTATGCGCTTTCTTGCTGTGAGGATTGATACCATTCTCATGTCTATACTCCAACTAATAAGCCAGCAGCCAGCAAGCTTAGCTTAGCATACTTAGCAACTGAAAATGGGAAACAGGTCTGACTGTCTGTACCTGACTGTCTGTACCTGACTGTCTGTACCTGACTGTTTCTCACCTGTTGCATTAACTTTTTGTAGTCTTGTCATTGCCAGGAAACTGTAGAGACCTATCCCTCCTCAATTATTTATCCAGTGGTTTTTGTATGAGTAATTAAACAATAGATTTACCAACTGTTTAAACATTGAGCTTTAGAGATGTTGGTAGGCAGATTTAGTTACCTTTGGACGGAGCCAGGCTAGCTGTTTCCTTCTTTTTCCTTCTTTGTTCTAAGATAAGCTAACTGGCTGTAGCTACATATTAAACAGACAGATATGTGAGTCAATCTTCTTATCTAACTCTTGGTAAGATTAAAGCTTATTTCCCAAAATACTAAACAATTCCTTTTAGTTCAGTTTAATATTTTCCTTCCAAACCTTTCATATCCTTTATTACTGTCTTTACTCTTTCACCTGTTTTTAGTTCTCTGTCACTTTCTCACCTTTTTGTGCACTTTACTCCACTTTCTGCTCTCGCTTGCTCCTTTTTTGATTTATTCTCTCCCTTACAATCTATTTCCTTCCTGTCTATCTCTGTTTCATATCTCTGTTGCTTGCCATCAGGGAAAAGTTCCTCACTGAGATTCAGAGTCCCCGCTATGCCCGTCTGAGGGATTGGCATCACGACAGGTCTGCCCGCGCCCTCAATATCAAATCCTGAGCGACATCCTAGACGTCATGGGGGATGCAGAGCCCAGCCAGAGCCTGCTAGCGATAGCCACACCGCAACGACTACGTGACAAAGACGACGAAAGATAGCCGACCAATGGCAGTTAACAAATTCACCTTTCGGATACAGATGGGGTGAAAAAGAAGTTAGGGGAAAAATAAGAAAAGCAAACCAAAAATTGAGGAAACATAGCCTAGATGACAAAACCCAAAGTGGAACCTTGCATACTGAGCCTAAGTGTAAGATCTCCCTCTGAATTTCTGACTTGATGATTGTTGACAACACTGTGGACCACTGTGTCTGTAGCCCTATTTTCCATTTCAAACTGCGTTACTTGGAGTAAACTGGTGGGAAGGTGGGAAAGGGGGCTCAGCAGTGGGAATCGCCTTTCTGTTCCTTATTCTTCTTTGATTGTGAAGTTCAGACCCTCCTTTGATCTCTGTCTGTCTGTCTCTCTCACTCTCTCTCTCTCTTGCCTGTTTCCATTTATTGAGTTCTTCATCCTGTTAGTTTTCATTTCTGATCCCCTCATCTCGTAGGCTTCTCCAACCATTAAGAAAGAAAAGGAAGATAAATCTGTACTTTTGTTTTTTTCTGCTGTCATCAAAAACATAAAACATCTGAAAAAAAGCAACTCCTGCTTCTCTGTCCTTTCTTCTGTGTTTCTTTTCTTCTAGTTTATTCGACATTCGAGCTTTGAATGATGCATCTCTTGATGTACAACTCTTATTTCTCTTCTCTTCTCTTTCTTTAAAGAAATTGCTGTGACTCAGCTACTTAGCTGGTGTACTGGACACAAATGATTATGTAGAAGCAGGGCTTTCCTCTGTATGTATGCAGTTCTGAAATAATGGGGTGCCTTCTCAAAGATCAGGGTTCAAGTTTACTTTTATTACCTTGGAGAGAAAATTGTTGTGCAGTCAGGCATAAATACAACAAATGGGCATACACGCATGAAGTAATACACAATCATAAAGTGCAGAGGTGCACAGTGAGGAAATGCAGACTTTACTATGTTGCCCTTGCCTGAAATAAAAATATCCAAGAGTATTTAAAACTTAATAATAAAAAAAAACATTACTATTACTGATAAGAAATTGCTGCAACTCAGAGAGAAAAGATCTGATAGCTAGTTGCACACAAGACTTACCAGACTAAGAATGTTTTGATGATGAGGCACCATATAACTTGATTTAGATGCATAAAAAAAAAAAGGAAAAAGGACATCTGGAAACTATTTAAAAAGCTCTGGACGAGGTACAAAATTTACTTTTGCCTTTAGGTGACCAGGAGAAAAATGTGGGATGGTTGCTTTTTACAAGGTGATGTTGCCTAATAGTTTTTGAATGAGAAGTGATCTACCTTATGTAGTGTGAGGAAGAAATATTTTAGTTTTATGGCAGCAGGAAACTTGATAGGTAATGCATTAAAAAAAGGTAAGCTTTTCCACATACAGAAAACTGAAAAAGGAAATTAAGGTTAGGCTATACTTTTGTTTTTGGTAATACTGTCAGTCATTTAATTACCAATTAGGCAATTATTAAACAAGTAACTTAAACTAAACTAGGCCACACAAGTTTAAATTAGTTGCACTGTACCAATAAGTATATCCAGACAACCTCGTCCCACACTTACTGTCAAATATCAAAACAATGTGGAGAAATTTCAGCAGATAACTGTAACAATAAAAAAAAAAGTTTAATATGCCAGTTGTAAAAAAACGAAGAAAAAAAAACGACTGAAGCCGCTTAATTACAAAATTTTAGTTTTCTTGACATTAGGAGCCTTGTAAATAATAAGGGATGATGGATGACAGAAAGAGCTTACATGCATACAGGCAGAACAGCGGTGCCTCTCTCTGCCCTCTATGAGGTGTGCCACCATTGTTTGACATTTTGTCAGTTGTCACATTCAGGTTCTTGCAGAGCTGCAGCACTTTTACCTCCTCACTGTGGAGGGTGACATATGTCAGTGATTTCTTGCTCCACGTAAAATCAAAACCTGCTCCTTTCTCTGCCGGATGTTGAGCTGCCAACAAACTTTCCCCATTGTTCAGGTTGATGCATCCCACAGGAGAGGAAGCCAAAAAAAAACACCCCAAAACTGGTGAATCCGAAATCGGAGGTGTAAAGAGTGAACAGGAAATGTCAAGGAAACATTCCATGGGGTGCTGCTCTGCAGCATGTCCAAAACTCTGTATCGAAGGCAAAGAAAACCCCCTCCTGTCTGCACAGTCTGTGATGCAGGAATTGTGCACCTGCATCACACTGAGCCTCTCGCTGAGCAGATGGGGGAGGAGGATGTTGAAAGCAGTGAAAATGTCAAGAAAACATGATCCAGTCTGCTCCGGTTAGGAATAAGCCGCTGTAGAGGATGTACTCCAATTTGCACCCTGCAACCTACACCAGAGTGAGGTCCAGCCAAACAAACCTCTCAAAGGTGTGTGAGAAAGTCAGTGCCACTGGCCAGTTGTCATGAAGGGCAGCACACCACAGGAGTGTAGACTGGGTGCTGTTGTTGACCAGGATGTTTTTTTGTAGGTTGTTAGGTGGGGTCCCAGAAGGCAGGCTTGCTAGTGTGCGCGCTGGAGGGCAGCTGACCCTGGATCTGTATGTCAAACAGGCTGAAACTGTTCTGTCCTCTATTTGACCCAGCTGCCAGAGATCCTTCTTATCCAGCCTCCTCTCCTCCTTTCACTCTGTTTTGCTGTAGTTCCTTTACAAATGTCTTCTGGTACGGGGGACGGTGGTCTTACCTTCCTTTAATTTAGAAAGATTTAACTTCCTCCCTGTCACCAGCCCTGCAAGCCATCTTCTTGCTATTGCAAGGGGATTTAATGTCCTTTATTATGCTGAAAAATAGCTGTTTTTATTCTTCTTCTTTCTAGATAGCTCCCAGCTGTAAGTCTGTAACTTCTCCTGCCTCTATAACTTCTTGTGTTTAGTTGTTGCTACATAAGGAGTATAATTGATAGGCAGACTTAACCTGATACAGGCGATGCTATAGAACAATGCAGTTGCAGGGTAATTCATTTCACGTTTCCTCTTTTTCCTTGCAAATGCAAAATTATTTCATCATCTTTCATTAGTGTAATGTAGATGCCACAGTTGATGATGTAAACACGATAGTTGCCTAAGGCGGTGTTATATTTTTTCCCAAGATGAGATGTCTCCAGAGCTTACTGTCTTGGCTCAGAAGTTGTTTTTCCGTCTCAGTCATGGTTTGAAGATTTTCTGAATATGGTGACGCTTGCTGCGGGTAACAGAACTTTGAAATGTAGAAACAACTCTTTATTTCAACGATTCTTCACATGGAGGCTTGAAGCGAAACTCCTCGGCATCCTAATCTGACAGCAGAATGTGTCTTTCGTTTCTCATTCTCTAACTTTGCCCGTGAGTGACGTCTATCAATCCGAGATGTTTGGGTTTCTTAAAGCTCTCATTAGTGCAAGGCTCTCGAACCACTTTGATGTGGAGCTAAAAACGTCTTTACCGAATGCACACGGTGGTATCTGTTGTTCAGCGTTGATTATTACATGATTGATTTTTACTCACAAAGGCTTGTGTAATCATGTAAAATGGCCCGCAAATCAATTCAAATTCTATCACTGTGTATTTTCTTTAACATTCACCTAAATCATAGATGCTAAACCAGCTTGTCTTGCCACAACAGGTGAGAAACCCATGCTGCCTGTTGATACTGATTAATATTAATGATGATGCTTCTTACGATCATTCACTCAGAGGGTAATCTGCGGCACAATGTAATGGAGACAACCATGGCTGCTGATATCCAAACATGACGTTCATTGAGTAGTTACCATGGTTACTGAGAGGTGTGTGCGTGTGTGCGTGTGTGTGTGTGTGTGTGACCTTTTCTAATTAGTCATTTTCTCCCCACAGCCTTGAGCCAACTCCCTCACCTGCCAAGGCCCAGGCAGCAGATAAACCAGATGGTGAGTTTCTGCTCCTGCTGATGCGTAAAAAGAACCCCAGCAGTATCCAGTAGAGGTTGTGCTAATAGATTCTTATTAAGTGTCAATACATGAGCATCAGCGGCAAAAAACAGGACACGCAAAACTGTCACAACATACATCTGGCGGGAGCATTTGTATTACATAAAAGCGTCCCCCTCCTGTTGTGAAATTATTCAAAGTCACAGCCAAGTTTTTCAAACTGCTGTATTTCCAAAACAAATCACACTGTTTTTGTTGGGGTGTGTGTGTGTGTGTGTGTGTGTGTGTGTGTGTGTGTGTGTGTGTGTGTGTGTGTGTGTGTGTGTGTGTGTGTGTGTGTGTGTGTGTGTGTGTGTGTGTGTGTGTGTGTGGTTTTTTTTCTTTGGCCCAGGCTCCAAGACTGCGGCTGCAGCAGCAGGCAGTTCAGGTCCTTCCAGTCGACCGCCGTGGGTCACTGACCCTAATTTCGCCGACCGCTTTCGCCCAGACAAGACCAGCACCGTTGTGACCCAGCATCAGCAGCCGGCCGAGCCGACGCCTATGCAGAACCGCAGCTCCATCCTGCAGGCAGCGCAGCAGGCACCTGAGGACAGTGGGAGGACCCCGTTATGTGGCGCCTGCAACAAAATCATAAGGTGAGGCCTCGCCGCCACATCTGCAGTGACAGTTGGATTCATTTTACCAGGATAAAATACTCTTAATGTTGGCACCTCTCAAAGCGCTGTTAGAGAAATGACACATCATTTAAGACTTAATATACACGATGACAGACTTTATGTCTGCAGTCAACATAATTAACACAGTTTGGAGACATTTTGTTATCAGTGGAGACAAGCATTATGTCGACTGAAATAATTTAAATCTCATTTCACAGATAACACAGAATCCTTAGTTTTTATTCTGTTCACTATTGCAAGCTAATTGAACAGCTGTTTTGAGGTGAAGATACAAAGTTCACAGCAGAACTAAAGACACATGCCCAGTTTTTAATCGCATTGTTCAGAAAGGGAGCCAACATTTCTATTAGAGCTGTCCTTGTTTTCCCTGTTAAAGTGGAAAATGATGTAGCAGATTTTACTAATGCCTCTGTTGTGCTGTTAAACTGTGTGTGTGTGTGTGTGTGTGTGTGTGTTTTCCAGGGGTCGGTACCTGGTGGCGCTTGGACGTTCTTGGCACCCTGAGGAATTTACATGTTCACAGTGTAAGGCGGTCCTGGATGAGGGGGGCTTCTTCGAGGAGAGAGGGTCTGTCTACTGTACCAAGTGTCACGATAACCGATACGCTCCGAACTGCGCCAAGTGCAAAAAGAAGATCACAGGGGTAAGGGCTGCACTGTTGCATTCAGAAAAATCAAAGCACAAACAAGAAACGTGGAAGGAATTTTAGCCTGGAGAGACATTTTAGGCTCGAATAAGGCGGCTGTTCTAAAGTAATCTGTGATTTCTCTGTACAGAACATGGAAGAACATACGGATGTAAAAAAAAATGTACAACCTTTTCTCCTGTTATCAGGAAATCATGCATGCCCTGAAGATGACCTACCACGTTCAGTGTTTCAAGTGTGCAGCCTGCAAGACTGCCATCAGGAACCAAGCCTTTTACATGGAGGAGGGTGAACCCTACTGTGAGAAAGGTGAAACACTGTTTAGTTACTTAACTGTAACTTTCTATTAACCATTCTACTTTTCGATTAAAATAATTACAAAAATAATGGAAAACAGTATTAAAAATAGCACTTTGGGTTAAACAGGTTGAGTTAAACACTGTGGTGTATTAATGACTTGATTCCTTGAACTTCAACAGAAAAACATACACCAAAATGTACTCATTTAATGCTAATAATGTTAATGATACCCCATGTACCAAGGCCGAGTCCTTGCTACAATGGCCATGCGTTCAGGTCCAAACTGTGGCCTTTGCGGCGTGTCACTCTCTCTCTCTCCTCCTTTCCTGTCTACCTTGAGCTGTCATATCTAATAAAGGCAAAAAGCCTATATATATATATATTAAAAAAGAAATATACTGCACAACATTCAAATTGTCCTTTCCAAACACACTAGGCACCTGCAAACTGTCAAAAGTTTCCATCACACACATTTGCTGGAAAACTGTAAGTAATAATAATAACAATAATGTAAATACACCAGGATATTAATATTGTTCTAACAACCTCACTGAATGTGAAGTTGTTCACTTTCCATTCACACAAGGACTGTGTATTTCTCTCATTCATACTTAATAATAGTAATACAACATCTCCTGTCACAGATTCTTAAGGCTTCATAAAAGATATGAAGGCATCTCCATGAAAAATCCTCAGCTGGAAACAAAAAGAAACATCATATTAATGTGGTTTCTAGGAGAAGAATTGAAGAAAAACAATAGCAGCAGTAGCCACCATGGCTGAACAGACAGTGGCATCCACAAAACCCCACTTTTAATAGAAAATGTAACTCTAAACTTGAATTAAAAGGGGGCAGTATTTAAAGGCAATGCTTTTGCAGAAAATATGAAAGACTGGCAAAAGAAAAAAAAGTATGCTCAGAATCCTCAGTGTGCAGATTGATTAGTTCCAGTGCCAACTGAGAACATCTCAACGCATGTTAGACCCCCTGTAACTTTATACATGGATCAAGCCTTGCACATTTATTCTAAATCTGCACTGCGCCCCATGAACAGAGGGGGGTCTGACATCCCGCCACACTGCATTAACTCTGTGATCAAGCTTATTTGATGAAAGATGTCATATTTCTTTACTCTAAATGGATGCCATAGATAAGTACAGTGCAGCTCAGGGTACATAAGAGGATGTGGTACAAATAACAGAAAAACGCAACCACTGAGTGATTCAGAGGTCTTGCCGAGTGCATTTTATGACAAAGCTGTTTCTTTGGGGGAAAAAAAGCTCACTGCAGGGCGTCCCCTTTCCAGTTTAGCTTGAATCATTTTCATATTTTTTTTTTTATCAAGCTATTTGTAAAACATTGCATTGTTGTATTATTGCTGTGGGGTTTGGTGCAGGACTACAATCATGAATCTTTTGCTTCGTACCACAGTCAATCATAAAGTGTGATGTTTTCATCTGCTGTAATCTATTTAGCTCCAGTTTACTTCATACATTTCTCTATTGGATTTTATGAATGGTGTATGCTCTTCTATTATGCTGTAAATGATTTAACGGGGCAGTGTGTTTCTCTCTCGCTGCTGAGGCTCTGACGTGGCTCGTTGCTTTATCAGAGGCGAAGCCAGAACCTGAGTACTCATACTCTGAATAATGCCTTTAGCTCTGATAAACATTGTGCTGCCTCAGCATCTTTCAGGGATTGTGCAGCTCTCACCCACTCACTCTTGAGAAGCAGCATTATAACCTGACACTTTCCCCGGAGTCCCTGTGATGAAAGAGACTGGCAAATCCAGTTAAGTATCTGGAGCAATTTCCCCTCATCCTAATCCCTCCCTCGCACTTTGGAAAGGCACTAATGTACAGTGGGTGGACAAAATAAAGCAAACGGTGAAGTATCAAGTGTCCAATGAGAAGAAGAGCAAACATTTGACTTCAGAACAGCTTCATCCATCTTTATTGCCGTCATTCAAGTCCTTAATTGTGTGTGTGTTAGTGTGTGTGGTGGGATATTACTCCTCTTTAAGAGGAAAGGCCTCCAGTTCTTTAAAAGATGAAAGAGGTGGAAACCTATTTCACACTCGGTGCTCCAGAACATCCTATAAAGGTTAAGTGATGTTTACATATGGTGATTGCGGAGGCCATAGAGAATGCTTGACCTGAGCTTCAGGATGATAGAAGCTCTTTTGAATTTATTTCATGAAGTTTTTCTGATGGCTATCTCACATATCTCTGCTGCTCACCAGCTCTCTTCACATCACCTTTCTCTCTGCAGACTATGAGAAGATGTTTGGCACCAAATGCCATGGCTGTGACTTTAAGATTGATGCCGGCGATCGGTTTCTGGAGGCCTTGGGCTACAGCTGGCACGATACGTGCTTCGTCTGTGCTGTAAGTCATTTTGATTGATATGGCTCCCTGTGGGGCTCTTTGCCCCATCTCTTCTGGCTTTCCTAGCACAATGCCACCTGAAAAATCTGCCCCCATCTTTGGACCTGCAGCTTTCCCCTCTGTCTCTCTCTCTTTTACCCTGTCACCTGCAGTCTATCACTCTCTCAATCTCCCTGTGAAGAAAACTGAAAGTAAATGCAGTCAAGTAAATAATATGTGCCTGCTCTGGCCAGTAGAAAACTGTGTAAATTCACATTGGCACTGTTGAGGTCTGATATCTACTCTGCCCTGGTTTCCCCAATCTGTCTCTCTCTGTCTGTCTGTCTCCTTTCATCTTTAAAGCTCTGCCAAATCAACCTGGAGGGGAAGACGTTCTACTCGAAGAAGGATAAGCCCTTGTGCAAAGGCCATGCCTTTGCTCCGGTGTGAGAGAGCGAGCTTCATCTTCAGAGGAAGGAGCGCCTCTCTCTCTCCCTCCTCTTTACCCCACTCCGCCCTCCGGCACACTCGTACACACTCTACATCTCCTCTTCGCCAGCCACACACCTAGTTAAAACTCCGTCTTTTTTCTATCTTGCAGACTTTGTTTGTATATTTGAGGCTTAATGTTAGCTTCACATACTCTGACTTTACTGTGCTATTAAGACAATTCAGACATTACTGCCTGTAATACCAAATGCTGTGTTGTATAACTGGAAGTAGTTGAGGAATTATTTCATGTCATCAGTAACTTTGGACATTAAAAATACAGCTGCAGTCATCTAGACTTAATCATAGTTGTTAGTTAAAAATACTCACGACTCACTCTAATCTCCTCCTTGTTCAGTCAGAAGTAAGATCAAGTCGGTATCTTCCTAGTTGGAGGAGTCACTTAGCCTTTAATAATCTCACATATTGCAGTAATGATCTGCCACCGCTGCTGTACTAAGTGTAGAGAAGTGGTGGCTCCATTCAGGACCCCGGCCCACTCACCGACTCTTATTGCAGTGCCTATTAACGTAATGGGGGTCCAGTCAAGCATAAAAGGGGGTGTCCCATTTCTGCCTGACTGGACCCCCACACCTCTCCACAGAAGCACTAACTGCTTTACTTATCACTTTGGCTCCGGCACACTGCAGTTAATAACTGTAATTTTGATCATGTAATAATCCTTAATTGATCCAGATTGAATAGTCCAAGATGTAGGTGACAGACACAGCGCTATTATTGTTCTTAAATGTTTCACACTCCTGCGGTAAGGACATTTGTCAAAGCTTTGAAAATATCATTTATTGGACATTTTAATGTAAGAAAAACATGTTTGTCCCTCATGTTCCAATGATGTTGTGATTGTTCCATAGAGTACTTTCAAGCCATTGTTTATTGTGTATTTATATTGCTTCAGAACGGGCCTGTAAGTGTTGTTTTTATAGTTGCTGGACATTTCAAATAAAATTAATCCGTAATTCCTCGTGCTGGGGGAGATCACTGGGTTGAAGTGTTTCTGATGTGAACCCATCTGTAAGATTTTCTATTGACTGCTGTTTTGGCTGTCTTTGCTCTCACCAACACCTGCTCCCCAACAACAGGATAATGGACTTTCTAATGTTTTGTTCTGAGTACTTTAAAAAAAAAAAAAAAAAGCTTCACGCAAACAGCTGCAACAAAGACCCTAGTGAATCAATGTTCTAAAAGTACAAATACATAATTTTAAATATCCTGTTAGTCATTAAATTAATCTGAAGTATTATTTTACTCCAAATGTTAAATGTTAATGATGTTAGACAAATTGTTCTAGCTAGTGCATATTTTGTATCCTTTGCTTTCTTGTCGACTTAGCTAGATGAGAAGATCAGGGGCCGTATTCATTAAACATCCTGAGGCTATAAGTGGCTCCTAACTGGTTGAGTCAGGGCAAATTCCTAAGAACAAGGGCTGTGTCAGTCTCAACTTGAGTTTTTGGTACAGTAATTAACAAGAGTTTTAGAGATAAAGTCTCAGAAGTCCAAGAGAGTCAGTAAAACCTCCTCACAGTCGCAATAAACAGTATTTAGTGCTGTTTTACTTGGAATATCTCAGCCGTTTGTCTGACCAAACATGAGCCATCTGCCTTTGACGGTTCATAAGTGCACATTAAATGATAAAGATGAATAAAGTTGCCAGGCAACCAGCATAGATACTGAAACAGAAATAGTTGAATCACAAATTTAATTTTGACAAATGTCATTTTTACATTTGTTTGTGAACAGATTAAGCCACCAATGAGATATAACGTTCACTAAAATTCAACTAGCATCCTTTTTGATTTGCTAGAACATTTAGCTCCACATGTATGGTCCTTTTTAAAAGAAATTGATGAGCAACACAAGTTAATTATCAAGTAAAAAGATCCAGTCCTTGATTTAACAATATATAATTTATTTACAACAATTTCAGGTTGAATTACTATACATACCTTTCTGAAATGTCATAGATATATATATACATAAGGCCAAGTAAATACTTGAAAGCACTTAGAAACGAATTTCCAAAATTCTACCCACAAATCCATATCATTGTCCAAAAAAGTACAGAAAATCTCCCTTAGCAGAAGTTTTTCCATTGCCACAAAAGTTTTGACAACAATTTACATTGACGATAAGGAACACAAAAGGTTAAAAAAACAAAAACAAAAAAAGGATTATACAATTGCATAAGCGCTGTGGCATGTAATAAATACAGCATTTTTGACTTGCAGAAAGGCAAGGAACATTGAATCAAGGAACTAAATAGAAAAACCATTCACAAGTACAGAAGTCTATTGTTCTTAGTTCAAAAAGAAAACAGTTCAGTCAGAGTGACAGGGAGGTATGCACACACCCAGTCACACACACACACACACACACACACACACTTACTTCCTTGACACTGAATAGTAATGAGTGACACAAAAAGTACAGTTGTGAAATGCAACAATCCCCCCCGCCCCCATAACTCGGGGGGTAAACGTATAAACCTTTGAACAAAGCATTTATGTTACTGACACGAGTCTTAGACACCACTATCAGGCCCACATCTCATCATGAAGGGAACTGTATTCATCACACACGCACAGTAATTGCAGATTTGTTAGATTTGTTGGACGAGTTTAGATGTGAAGATAGATGCTGAACATCCTGGCGGCTGGTGAATTACATTACTGAAATGTGCTTAGACAACACATCCAAGACAATGACAGAGGTGATAGAGTTTCACACACACAGTCTGACTGTACAACTGCCATGGCTCATCGAAAACATGCTGCGTTAACACTGGCTCGTCAGTGTCCGAGAACTGATGTCCTAGTGTAGTGATCCACTAAGCATTAGTGACTATTTCCACCTTGTATTTAAATGCTTACAGTTAGAGAAATAATCAGGTAGACATATGCAGAGTAAGGACGAACAAAATATGTATAGAAACTTCCTGTAAAACAGTCTCTAAACCCTTAACACTGCAAAAAGTCTTCACTGCTAGATCGCCAAAGAACAGTATATAGGCAAACACGTCACGGTTTAGACTTGACAAATGCTGCGCCAGTTAAGTGTCTTTTTTTGGCTTCATATTAAAATATAATTTACATTTCTTTACAAAGTGATAAAATAAACTGACACATATTACCGCTTGAACAAACAGCATTAACTTGCCTCAAAGACAAAAGCGAGTAAATGAGATATAGAAATGATCCAAACTGTCCAGTTTAGAAGAGACAGCGACTCTGACTTATTCTATAGTAGCTGCAAGTAAAACAATGCTTAAACAATATTTAATGGATACAATATGAGGATGTAGTGGCCTCAAATGATATTCATAAAACTTTGGTTACCAATTCTGCTGATATACAGTATGCAAAGTGACAGCACACGGCTGGTATAGAAAAAGTATTTACATATTACATGTGACGATGATCCATTTCAACATGAAAAGATTTATTTAAGGTGATATCGTCGTTTTGTCTGAATGGGGCTTGATCCAAGGGTTTCTTAAAGTGGATAAAAAATGTTTTTAATTTGATTTCATGGCATCTCTACATCAAATAATACAGGAGTTTGTTAAAGCGCGTTGGTCAAGAGGAGGCGTGTTTCGCAGGATGAGAAAGAGACTGATCGGGTGCCGAGATGCCACACAAATATAAAGTAACTTCTAAACACTTAAGGGAAAAAAGAAAGACACACTTTTCCCCCACTACAAGGAAACATAAATGTACATTCCAAATATCTGACAATCATAAAAGAGGCTCCAGTTAGTGTTAAAGGTTGAAGCCACAGGAGCTGGTAGGATGGGCTGTGCTAGCTGTTTGAATAGGGAGGGACTGAATGAAAAGGGGCTCTCTTTACAACTTGAACAGACAACTTCACATGCAACCCTGAGGCAGACGGAGAGAGAACTATGGCTAGTTTGGGATTGCTCACACCTTTTACAAAGAATAATTACTGAACCACTGCACTTTAAAGAAAGATATTCTGTGTATTTTACGTTGCCTGACCTGACAGATCCATTAATAATAGGAAAGAACTCTGTAAATGAATGCAGTAGCAAAATATGATAAGCAAGTGCGTAGTTGCAGTTTATGATTTGTTGCATGAATCTGCTGGATCATTTTTGCCTTCCTGGCTGGAAATAAAACTGAAAGAAATCCTTTCAAAGCATCTTTTGTGAGCAGAGGCGTGACATTATGTATAAGCCACTCTTAACTTTCTCTGAGAGACAGGCGTTTCTCTGATGTGGAAATACTATTTGCCACACAGCAAATATAGAATTCCCACCAACATTGCTTTATGAATTATAAAAACAAAGTTGCACAACCACTCTTTCAACGTGAGTAATCTGGTGAAGATTTTGAAGAATTTGTTGTCAGATCTTCTGTGGGAAAGTGCTCTGCATTATTCATATGGGATAATAACCCTTTTGGCCATGCTTTTATGTTTTAACATCCTCTCTGCTACAGAATCAATGTAATCAGGAGGAAAATGTCATTTTAGAAATGAGCGACGACATTCAGTGTTCATGTATATGCAGCTGGAAGCCTATGGCTCGTTCATTAGCTGTGGAATTAAAAAAAAAAAAAAAGCCACGATGAACAATTGGAGTAATGAGAGACGCGGACAGATCAAATTCACAGGCTTTCCATAGAAATGGCTTCTGAAATATGACTTTAGTGAAGATATTACTCACTCCCCCCTCAAAAAAGTTCAAAGAACCCAAACCCCACATATATTGATTTAGAAGCAGGAAAGCTGCGAAGCGTCTCGCTGAATCAAGATGTCAAGATGTTACATTCACAGTAGTGATACCGGTTAGACTAAAAAACACACAAACGAGATGAGACAGGTTTTTGGGCCTCTGACATACAATCTATTTAAAACCTGCGAGTCCAGGATGTGCTACAAGCCATCTATGTGTGTGTTTTAAGAAACAGATAATGACACATATGAGACAGGGTTTGGGAGTAGGCGGGACGGGAGGGGACGCTTACAGACCCTGATGACCTTGTCGAAAATGTGCTCAGTGTCTGTGTTAATGTCATGTAACAAATCTGCCAGTTGCATATGTCGCCTGTTCTCTTGAACCTGAAATGACTGGCACCTTTTGTCACATCCCTTTTATTTAATATCTAATCATTTTCTAGGTTCCAAAATGATTCATTGAATTTGCGAAATATAGGCCATTAGTAATAGCATTACGTTTGCATATTGCTCCAGATTAGCCATAATGGGCTATTTATAAAAAAAGGCATGAAGTTAATTTAATGTTATTTTTAAAGTAGAGCCATGGTGTGAACTAATTTAACTTAGATCTTTGATGGAAAATAAAGGGTATTTTCTCTACTTTCTCGAGTTCATGGATACATTTCCCCACACCCCATAACACTTCCTTTTCCCTTATTTGGTCAGTTTAAAGATTTTTACTCTGTTCGATGGGAAACGGACTCAATCCTATATAAACCCTTTACTATCTTCAGAAGAAGAGGGACATTGGGAGAGCTCTCCTCTTCGATTCCTGCTGCCGTTGTTTTTTTTTTGTGTGTTGTTGTGTTCTGTACTTTTCCTCTGCACCAGTCTCTCCCCCTGTTCTGGGTTAGCACTCGCCATCAGAGACCAGGAATATCATGGCTTCCTGTTTGCCAATGTCAGCCATGACCGTGGCCAGCTGGTTGATGTTGCCACTGTGGAAATGTTGTGCCTCCCACAGGTCCAGGATCACAGAGGTTGGGCTCGCTTTGGATGCAAAGAAACTCATGTGTCTGCAGAGAGGAGAGCACAAAAATAACATTTTTATTAAATCAAACCATGTGCACATATCAAAACAGTCAGACTCTCATTTGCTCCACACAAACAGAGTCTAAGGAAAGCTTTTCAGCCAGTATTTTATTGTGCTACTGCTTCTTGTAACTCTGTCAATGTCAAGTTTTATGGTGTTATATTGCTACATCAAGATATGCTGTGTTGGAGCACTAAGTAAAAAAATGATAAAAGGTACAAGAACACAGTGTAGCTCTTGAAACTGCCATCAAATACAGAATCTCCAGCAATTTTCATTTGAAGCTTAACAGCATAAGCCTCATTCCTCTTTATTTGATGTTGAAATTGGCCCTAAATCCTCATATAGTAAATCCTATATGGACTTTCACAGTTAAGTCGGAAGTGACCTTTTCCATTTTAGGAGCAGAACCTTTACGATCAAACCCAATCAATGACAACAAAGCAGTGGCCCCAGCCAGCTGTATATTTGATGTTGAGTGGGACCTGATCCCCGCGGTACCCGAAGACGCTTGTTTGATTTAATGGCCTTTTTCTGTTCTCCAAATGTCTAGGGCCTTAACTGTTATGTAGAGCACACATGACATTAAAAAAAGAGAACTTAACTCTTGGCACAAAGGGGGATTGTGCTGTGAGTGTTTTTTTTTTTTTTTTTGCCGGGTGGGAGGGGTGTGAGACAGGAAGCTGAAAACGCCACCAAGTCCTTTTCACCTTGAGAAAGGTCAGACAGAGTCCATTACTTCCTTGTATCTTCTGTTTGCCTAGTGAAGCATTCTGTGATGGTTCTAAACATGGCTGCTTTGGAAGTACCAAAGCACTAAGAACACAGTGTCACTCTCCTATTTTGAATCAATTGGATTTTATGGCACACACAGCCTTCCCTCTGCGTCGGGAGAGCACAACAAAGTGAAGTGTTGGTCAAAAAAATTGTCTAGGAACAAACCTCTGTGTCATTATTCAGATAAAAAAAGACGGAGCTTAGCGTCAGACGTGTCAGCCCTGCTTATTCACCTCGCCGTGTGAAACACAAGCTTATCTTGTATGGCTCAGACACAGCCGTTTGCACAGTCTTAGGAGAGAAAGATCAAATAAAAGGTTCTTGGCATTTTAAGTTTTATTGATTGGTCCCGTTCCGCTCGGTCTGAACACTTTACACACACAGAAACAAACACAGAAATAGCTGCATGACAGAATGCCAAGGAGCCGCTGCCTTTTCGGGAAAACATGTTGTTAAGGACAGATCAAACAAACAGAGCAGTTGTTCCTTCCTAAATGAGAATTGATTATGTTGAGCAAAACATTGCTAGTTAAACCTGTAGTGCATCAATTCAATTTGTGATTAATTGGGGTAAATAAAGTTGATTGGACAAATTAAGTGTACCTATTTGATTTAATTACGAGGTAGAAATTAAATTGGAGGATAAGGGATCAATGCCTGGCTCTCTTCTGTTACAGGTGCTCCAGTGATAGAGTACAGTAACTGTCTGATGTCGGCACAGATCCAAACCTGCTCCATCTTTTTTTGCTGCTGATGGGCAGCTAGCTTGCTACCTTTCCAATTACAACTGTTAAGCAGAATGTAGCGGGTACAAGTTTAGCTGCAGACTTTAAGCTGCTTACCTGTTCCTGAGGAAAGGAAGGGGGTCGTTATTTCTTACAAGAGTGATAGCTGTATCCATCAAGTCCACATTAATCCTATAATGTTAGCTGTGTCGAATAAGGGATTAGTTTGCTAAGGCAGAACCTTGTTTACCTAAACTCTCAGGAAACACTTGACTGCGGTGACGCACTTTACACTGATTGTCGCCAATTATAATTTCATAGTTACATGTTAACCTCGACATTAGCATGAGCCTTCAAAATCAGTGTGATTGCATGTTCATTCATTTAAACTGGCGGTGTTCAAGTCTTGTACATATACTCCTGTGCAACCTCTATTCCTCAAGGGGTTTGGATTAATGAGGCTCTGCTGCATTTCTTTGAGAGCCTTTGTGTAAGCAGCCTGTTCCAGCGATCAGTGATCAGATAAGGCATTATGCTATTGTACAGATGGTATTTACCTCTCAAGTTTAAGTCTTTGTGCTAGCATTCTCCAGTCGGATCCGTTGGGACAGGGGGCATCCAGGCTGCTGCAGATCTTCTGCCTGATGAGGTACGGGATCTGAAAGGCGCTGGGCCCTGCCAGAGCTGTGGCGTTACTGTCCATTAACAGAAACTCAGAGTCCACGGCTCGGGTGTCCTGTTAGGAATGATAGCCATGCAGCACAGCCTTATTCTCAGCACGGCATAAAGACATGACTAATGAAAATCTGGAATAATGGTAATTACTTGCTGGCTCTAAACGAGTAGGTGTGCTGGATGTTACCTTGGCAATGTTGAAGTCGAGGCTAAAGCTCTGTCCCTCCCCCTCCACCTGCCACACGCACAGCTGGCAGGTGAGCTCACAGGTGCTGAGGCTGAGTCGCTCCAGAGTGAACGTGCAGTGCAGGTACCGCTGGGAACCGTTCCAGATGTGGTAGAACGGGATCTCCTGCAGAAGAAAAAACAAAATACGCAGCACGCACAAGCGGCAACGCAGCAGCACAGTCAGAACTGCATGTCTGAAACACGCTATAACAGGACCGCCTGCCTAGAATATACCCCGATCATCATTAATTACACTCACATAAGCTGTCATCGTTGGGTGAAGATGGCTAAATATATCTGAGGCGGCAGACTGACAACATTCAGCTAAGTTAAAAGGAGATAATGTGCTGTTACTGACATATAGACATTTTAAAGGGAGTTAATAGCTGTCTTACTGTCTGACTTGATTACAGAAGCAATCAAACTATTTTAAGAGATAACACAACATATTTATATCTCTGCTATGAGAAACATTTTCTATTCATCCATTCTTTTTCAGCCTCTCTTTGCAAGTATGCACTGTACATGCATCTCCGCACAGACCTTCAGATGTTGCTGAAACATCACGCACACTACTTTGTATCTAAAACGCATCATGTGGCACAGAGATATATATGTATGCATAATAGCTTCAAGTACAATCGCTGTATAGCACTAGCTTCTGTCTAGCAAACAACTACCAGGGAGTTTTTGGTAGAATTTATTCAAGGCTGACAATTTGTACATCTCTTTCTCTGTTGCTCCATATTCATGCTTCATTTACATATCCCAAGAGAGGTAGAGAGGTAACTGAACAAAAAAAAAAAAACAGGGCACACTATCTCCGCACTTCACCCTGGGTTCAACAGCTGACAAGAACTTGAGAGTGAAGTGGGGCTGCAGTACATGCTGCCACCAAACGGGGGCACTGTTACCCAGGCAGACAGATAACAGAGGGAGCCGGGTGAAACGCACAAAAGTCTTCACGAGGGCCCCAGGGAGACTAAAGGCCTTTTTTGACCGCACTGCTGAGAGGGGAATAACACTTCCAAATGAACAGGCACAGTCCACAGGAATAAGCCTCTGTTCTGGGTGCATTGTTGCTGCCGCTGCTTGCTTGGCACAGTCTGTGAGTTCTCTTTGGGGACCTGGTGCTCAGTGCTTACATAGTTACAGCCACAACATTTTCTAGTCCTCTCTGAACGCCCCTCATGTCTCTGTTGCCGGGCTGCAGTGCAGTGGGCCACGCAGGTGTGGGGAGTGCTGTAGAGGTGGAGAGGTTCCAAGAAGTTTCCAGATATTTACATACTGCTCTATATTTCATCTGAGCTCCCTTTGAGAAAGCGGCAGCTAGGATAATCAATCAGCTTGCAGCTATGGGTTGGTGCACACAACCCAGCTCCAATATGCACACGTATACACCTCGTGCACAGGTACAAGTGAGCAAAAACATGCACGCTCTATGCACAGAGGTGCACACATACGCCTAAAAAGGTTCCCTCGACTCCGACAAATGACTTAAAGTTGCAAGCAGTGCCAAGAATAGAAAGGTTATTGGACAGAAGAGTCCTGCAGTAACAGACTGAAAAACACTCCTTTGTGTGAATCTTTAAAGTGATCAACTGAAGCCAAACCAAAACATACCTAATTAAAACTCTGAACCAACTAAAATTAAAACAACTTTCCAGAGAGACAACTGGACCATGAACCCTCATTAACAATAAAAAGTTGCTCCAGAGGAACTTTTGATTACTCAGTAACATTGCTTTTGCCGACATGTAGACCATTCTCCTTTAATTTCTCTGGATGGCTAATTTAAAATAACTACAAACAACATGGATTTTAAGTTGAGTGTACAAACAAATACATTAGAAAGCCCTATCAGTGCTGATACACAAATTTGACAAATTCAGACAGGCACTTCTATTACATCTCCGTGCTCTCTTCTCTGATCTGGAGTGACTCCCTGCCCCTGCAGCCCTGCAGGGCCGCCCAACGCACCTGGTAACCGGCTAGCAGCTTGCTCCTCCAGTGTGCCTGGGGCATGTCATGGATGGACAGGCGCAGGTTGTGGTAGCTGTCTTTGAAAAGCAGGACGTGAGGCTCGTCAATCAGCCGACCCCCGAGCTGGCGCTCCATCTGCATCACCTCCTGATGAAAGAGAGAGAGAGAGGGGGCGTCAGCACTCAGAGGAAACACATTTCCCATCACAGTCACAGAGGTAAGTGAAATTGTGCAAAACAATTCATAACTGTAGGTTTCCTGTTTACACTCTTTATGGTCCATCACTCAAACATAAAACTGTACAGTTTGAAACAAGAATTTATCAGTGCACACACACACACACACACACACACACACACACACACACACACACACACACACACACACACACACACACAGAGGGAGAAATAAAAAGAAACACAAAATAAGACATGGATAATGGTGGGAACAATTTGACTCAAGTAGACGAACATACACAAACACAAAGGATCTTGCTTGTTCACACGCACACAGCGCAAGCATGAGGCCCGGGGTACAGTACATCCTAGGACAGGAAGGTAGTGTCACTGCATGCGGCCGCAGCAGGCTGGACTGACTTGTCTCCACAGCGCTTTAATGTCACCACAAGGTTGATCCTCTGCCTCAGTGTGTGCACGCCCAGCTTCCAGCAACCGCATTAGCATGCAAATACAGCAGCCATCCTGGCCTACTAGCTACCTGGGCTGTGATGAAGTAAGTGAACGAGCCATTAGTCAACTACTCATTGTTCTCGCATGGCGAATCTCCTTAATTTCATTTTTGTTTTTGTGCCAGGAGAGATTTGTAAATGCATGCTTAATATTTTAATCTCTGTGGGACTTGCTCAGTGGACCATTTGTTGCCATCCAAATGACCATCTGGAATGGGATGATAATATCTGCCGCATTTTCCTCTGATCTATCAATTCGTTTTGAGCTGCATGCTTTGTGCTGAGCGAGCCTTTAAGAATCCAATACTTTGGATGCCATTCACATGTGCTACCTCGCACTCCAATCAGAGGAGCATATTCCAAACGAGAAACACAGACCTCTCAAATTAGTACTGAGAAAAGACCTCAGAAATAAGATATGTTCTTTTAATCTGTCTGAAGAGGGAAACAAGATGGCAGCAGAGGGAAAACCGGCAGCCAGAATGCGCCTCAGGGGTCGAGGAGGCATCTCAAAGACAACGACTGCAAGAGGGAGATGTGTGTATAGATAGCAGCCATATGTTGAGCGCTGCATGCCAGCATGGTTGCCCATGCTATGATTTCAGCAAAGACATCTAATTAAGGTGGAGAATGGCAGTAATTTCTATCTGCACAACACTGATTAAATTTTCTGCCCTCTTTCCCAGGAATGGGATAGACTGATTCCAATTATAATGGAAAGGAAGCTGTTAATTATCTGTTTGGAATCTCTACCTGCTTTTTGTTGTTTTTTGAGAATTGAATTTCCATGTTTGCTTAGCACATTGCTAATTTCCATGTTTGCTTAGTGCTTATCTTCTTGTTAACACGAATATTATGCCCCCTGTGATTATCCATCTCGATTCCTGCATTAACACTGGTTTATTCCTTACACACAACTGCCACAGGACATTAAAGATGTACAATGATCTGATTATATGTGATAGCTGGAATATTTTCCTCACAGTACTGCCACGCCGGAGCCTTGTGATGTTACCCAGCCCACTTACCCAGAGTGGGAAGGTCAGACAATGGCTCTGAATCAAAGCGTCAAGGTCTAATGAGTTAATAACGGGGCAGCGCATTCTCCACAGAATTAAAAGCCCTTTGCTATTATGTCTCTTACGCAGACAAAAAGTCACATTATGAGGGCTTCCGGAGAGGTTCATTTAACACAGTTCTTAAGCACAATTATTTGTTGGGGGGTGATTAGCATTGCAAATTAGAGCTGGTGGACTTTGATCGGGTCTTTGACCTATAGTAGCAGATCTATAGGCCTGCTAGTGAGAGAGAGAGTGCAGAATGCCAATTATCTTATTATCAACATGTAGCTACTAGAATGAATACTAACTGGCCTGTCTAGCAGTTTGTCAGGTTCAAGGCTGACATGGCAGGATTACAATCAAACAGGGTCTAGGACATGGCACTCCTGCTACCTGACAGGGACGCTGAGCTTACTGAGGGAGAATACACAACATGGGAGGATACACTTCTCTAAAGTGTGCACATGTCCTCGCTTTCAAATGACACTGTCTTGCTTGTATATTGTTTATGTGTGCCTGAGTGCCTGTGAGTGTGTGTATTAGAGAGCGTTTTTTTGTGCAGGGTTTCAGCATATGTTCTGGACTGAGAGAATAATGGCCCTCTTTACGCCCCATTATCCTGTTAACAAATGACAGTGTGAGCGAGCTAATAGATGAGAAGCTAAATTTGACCGTATTATTTACTCTTTCTGGGGGAAAACAATGCAAGGTTTTGCATTAGTTTATCAAATCACATATTAATCATCAACTCTGCGCTAGATTGTGTTTCCATTCGGCAAAGATAAGAACAGCAGTTTCTCTTGGACACCCTGACCCTGTACAAACTGTGGAAACATTAAGATGCATGAGATGGGCGAGAAGTTCAAGTGCTGCAGGAGAAAAACCCCTTTTGTTCTGACGGAATTCGAGATAGCCTGTGGTGTGTGTGAAGACTGTGAATTTAGAGTCAGGCAGAGCCAAGACCACCCCCTGACATTCAATGAGGCTGGCTAAAGAGAGTGAGATAGAGCAGGGAGGAGTGAAAAGAGCAGGAGCAAGAGAGAAGAGAGACAGAGGCAGCTTAACATTTGTGTCTCCAGGTCACTAGAGTGGCCAGCTTTAGCAGGAGAGATAACAGGATTACCGCAATCATGGCCACAGTTTTCTATGACTTCAACCCCCTTTCCCACCCTCACTCATATCCCACCCCTCTTCTCACCCATTCCCTCATCCTCTCAGCTTGGACCAGAGCTGGGACTGTGATGGACTGGGGCCGGGCTCCGCCGGGAAACAAGAGACACTCATACAGCTAATCTCTTCGGGCTGGTGCTGACAGAAAGAGGTTAGTGGCTGCACCAAACTCCCTCTTGCAAGAAAAACAGCCAGCCATCGAATGCAGGGAAGAAACAGTCTAAACAAATCAAAGCATTAGCAGGGGCCTATATAAGAACCGCACTGGTTCAAAGCTGCAGATTAAAATATTTTACTTCCCTCACAGCAAGGTCAAGCTACTACATGTGGTATTCTATTGTGCTGGCTTGGTGTGTAATAAACTGATTGATTTAACTAGCTCTGATGGGGATTAGAACTAGCATTTGATCAGTTAATTAGTCAAACTACATGTCATCTAAAACACGGGAGAGAGGCACAGGCTTTAATATCCTCATAAACTTGTCATCACCCCTCCACTCTTGGCGATGTTGTGTCCTCATGTGTTTAAAAATGTGCATTCATAGCGACGATCCATTTTCAGAGCTGCTCTTTTCCGGCAAATGCATTTGTTTATAGAGAGTAGCCTGGCTATGTGGGCTCCATAAATCTGTGTATTTGTCAGCAGGATGTGACAGGCTTTTCCTCTCTGACTGAGAGTCTATCAGTCTGAGCTCCAGTGGCCGTGCCCGCTACAGTCAACTCTGATTAATAACTACAAATAGAAGGGACTTGTCTGCTCAGTTATAAATGGGGACTGTGTTTGCTAGGGAAAAGATGCACATTCTGCCTGATAAATCACAGAGCAGGACGGGAGAAAACAGCACAGAGGAACACAGAAATATAATATGGAAACAATTTCTCAGCTGGGCTCAGTGATAGAGCTGACTGTCTTCTTTAACTTAATGCCAGAAATTACTGGGCTATGCTCTTCTGTTTTTCCCCAAGAATTCCTTGCCAGTAACTATTCTGATGGAGGGATCTGAAAAGCTGTTTGTATAGCGCTCCGTACATGCTGGTTTTCTCTCCTCGGATACATAAAAGCACAAAGTTTCTGCTCAAATGTAGCTTGCTGCTCAGGAGCTAGCAAGAAAACATCATGGAAGGAGCACATAAACTGTTTATGAGCCCTTTTAAACGCATATAGTAATAATAGCTTGGGGTCAAACACCGTACAAAAGAATCCAGGAGCCACCATTTAACCAGTTAGACATCAATTAAACACCCATTTAACACTGGAACATACATTTTTACAATCAAGAGACAAAAAGCTGAACGTATTGGCCTCATTACATGAATATTGATGAAAGCGTAACTTCTGTAGTCTGAAATACAATACTGGCAGTACAAAGGGAGTTAACTCAAACATTTTCTGGTTGTAATGTCACTTAAAACCACTATAATGATGATTAAAGAGGCTACAGCCATGTTAGCAGTTTTGTGAGGCTACAGTGCTTTTAGCAAAATGCTAACATCAGCACGATAACATGCTCACCGCTCACAATGACAACCTGAATGTTAAGGAGCTATAATGTTTACCATATTATTATATGGTCTTGGAATATGTGAACTTCAATTCTATGATTTCTTGTATGCTTAAATGTTTTTAATGTGGATGCTTGGAAGATAAGCTAATGAGCTAAAAGAAATCCAAACAACTCTAATCAAACCAAACCATATTAATCATCTTAGTTTAGCATGCTAACATTTGCTAATTAGGCGGATGGGAATGCCATTTGTTTTGCAGGTATTTAATATGTCTAATAACCAAATTATTAGACCTTTTGACTTGTTTTTTTTGCCTTTATTGGATAGGATAGCTGAAGATTGACAGGAAAGAGGGAGAGAGAGGGAACAACATGCAGTAATAGATTCAAACCCATGGCTGCTGCTGACTCGGTACATGGGGCACCAGATCTACAAGGTGAGCTATAGGTCACCCCGACATTGACAGTCTGACCTGATGATGGCATTAGAGGAAAAGTCCGGAGATCACCAAAGTCAGTGGGAACTCTGGGGACTTTTAGTGTATAAGAATGTGGTGGCAATCGATCAAAGAGAACTCATGCGGGCCCGACGGGGCGTCCCTTCCCAAATGGCAAAAAAGTCCCATACAGTTATTCATTCATCACAAAAGCTACTGTTAGTATTTATGTTGGCCCTTCAAAAAGTCTAGCACTCAACAGCCTACAGACAAACTGTGCTTGAAACTCTGTAAAAAATAAATGTGACAGAAAGTGGGTGGTTTATAAATCATTCTACATGTTTTTTTTTTTAAATGTACAACAACACTGGCCTTACAAAACACAGACATGTGGGTGTAAAGGAAGGACATTTATTTATCAATAAACACCAGGGTATTTTGTCATTGTTCCACTACTCAAACGTGGGTTATGCTCAGAGGAAAACATACTGAGCATTTTGTCCTTCCTACCAGAAGCTGACAGATTCTGAATATCACAGCTCAATATAAAAAAAAAATAGCTGCAGAATATTCCATTCCTAAAAAGACACCTTTTTCGGCACCCTTCCAGTTTAATTAGATGTTGGTGTTAGGTCTATCTCTGTACTGAGAGGCCTGGTTCACTGCAGGTGTTTCAATCAGTTGTGGGATGGAAGAACATCAGTGATGCTCTCCCACAGGTCTAGCTGGGAACAACTGAGTGCACAGTGAAGGCGCTACCAAACGCCGATCATGTCTCCTCTGCTTCTGTGCCAGCCTTGGCCGGGCCCATCAAGAGTGGGACACACATTAAATATTAACTTAATTGGTCCCGGCAGAGCCCTGCTAACATACGGCAAGCATCAGATGGAAATGTCACTGTTTCCCCAGAGCCCCCGCACACTTAGGATCAAAGACAATAACACTGGTTCTAATCTGCTGTAATTGGGAGATAAGAGATTGCATGGTACAGCGTGCATAAGTGTAGCGTGCACGTGTTTGTGCATGTTATTCCCGCTGATGGAGGCTTGTCAGAGCAGACTGACAGCCAGTGCGGGGACTGGAGATAAAACCTCAGCATCCCTTTTGGTTTCTGCAGTTCTTCCTGCCGCTGAACAACAACAGAAAAGGCAGAGACATTTTTTCATCTCCCATCAAAAGTGCAGCCTGTTTAATGCATGAAAGGTTGACTTCTTGTCTGAAAAACGAGGTGCAGTGCCTTAGCAGGGTGCAAATACTGTCATAAAATTCACATGTGCTGGTACTGTACATCAACACAAACATTAAAAAAAAATGCTGCTGTGCCACTTCATTGTACCACCTACTGCTACTCCACCACTGTTACACTCCACAATTAACTCTAATGGTAGCCATAGTGAAAGTCTAATCATAAATGGTGCATTTTAAAGATAGTGATTAGTGATTAGGCTGAACCTCTCCAGGGAAGTTTAATCTCCACTCAAAGTGGTTAATGTACTTGCTAAATGAACTGCTCCCTCCATAATGGCACCAAGAGCAGTGTGAAGTCGAGATTACTAAACAGTGTGGGCCACATTCTAAATCACTCACTAAAAACTACAAAACCCTGGAGACGCCGTGGCTTACCACAGGACCAGGTTGTGTGAGAGACGGGGAGCTAATGCACTCAAGGGCGTCGAGGGAGCCGCAGAGTATGGCAGCACGAGTGCTGGAGTCAACAAGCTCAGATGTCCTTTTCCTGGCTAAGAGAGCGGGAGAAGAGCAGAACAAGAGCTAGCTAGAGGGAGAGACAGTGAGAAAGAGTTTTTTGTGCACCAGCAGCCTTCCTGCATCCAGCAAAGGACACACAAGGTCATTTCAACAGTTACACTGCAGCAAAACACCACTGGGTCACCCAATGATCTGAATATATAAAGAGAACAATCATTACAACTGCCTTGATAGCAAATAAACAAAAAGGGCTGATATCTATCTGCAAAAAAAAGCCCTTCCTCTGCAGAGCTGCATCAGCTCCTGTATGCTACATCTTACATTTATTTCAACGTTTGAACACAGTTTAGTGTCACCCAGTGGCTTCCCTGAGCATGCCAGCTATCAATGCAATAGCTGTCAGAAACTGAGAAAGATAGCAGCAGGGACAGAATTGACCCACCAAAAGACAGATGTAAGCTAGGAGAGTTTTCAGTAATTCCCACCCCACAGGCAGAGTATGTGCACAGTTCCCATCTCATCTTCAGCTCCCTGAATTTGAGAGTGCTAATTTCAGACCGAGCCCCCGCTGCCTTCCATTGTTTATGTCCCACAGCCATCCATAGATTGTGCCGGTGGCGAGCCACTGCTCAAGGAGGTCAGCCATTACAGCCGGCAAAAGTGGACTTGAGTGGGAAGTGGCACTTGTGGCTGTGGGTGGTGTCAGACGAAAAGGAACAGCTTGGAGAGAGAAGGAGAGGTGCGGAGAGAAAGAGAGACAGCACGGGGGTTGCTGGGAAAAGATTGGGGCAGGCTCTCCTTTTAATTTACTAATTAACCATGCAAATGAAATCTTAACAGGCTACTCAGAGGCAGTCCTCGAGGGAGGGAGGAAGGCATTAGTGCTTGATTATACTCTGTCCATGTGGAGAGCAAAAGAGAGAAGCGAAATATGCTGTTGAACAAAGTGATGGGAAACTTCTTGGCCCACGGCAGTCAAGCAGAACCACAGACAGCAAGAAAGGAATGAGACATCTCTGTATGCACGCACACAAACACACACACCATGATTAACCTGGACATATGCATTGTTTCAATAGACTCACAGGGAACATCAGCTCCACAAATCACCCACACTTCAACTGCACATGGTGTAATCAGGCCTGCAATATTGTTCAATTTACCATGGCCACACCTAACTCCTACATGCGCTGATTTCTACTAACCTTCCAATATGACAGACAATGCTATTATACATAATAGTCTACCTATCACTCAGCTGGTGTGAAACTGCTCCATCCATGCAATCTCAGTCCTAGAAACTGCCTGCCAAACAGAATAACAGGCAGCGCTACATTTGTCACAATTTACCTTGAAGACGTCCTGCGTGTCGTCCATACAGTAGACCCTGATGTTGTACTCCAGCGTGGAGCAGTATGCGTCAGAGAAGAGCACCAGCCTCAGGCGCTTGGCAGCGCCCATGTGCAGGGACTCTCCCACCAGGGCGAGAGTGCCCAGCTGCTCCGTGAAAAGCCGGCACGTCTCGGCCTCAAGCTGGCAATAATAGGGCTCTGACACCAGCTCCTCCCCCATCAGCAGGACGTCCTGGAGGAGGCGAGGGCGAGAAAAAAAACAAGGTGTGAATGGAAGGTCAAGCACCCAATTTATGTAGGAGGGAAGGGTAATGTGTTTACCTGGGTACCTGATGTTTGTATGTGTGGGTGTGTGTTTGTAAAGGGGTTGTTAGGAAAGTTTGGCACAGTTACAGGGCCCCAAACTCTGTCCCTCCTGCAGTGTGACAAAGTAACAGTTAAGCTTAAGGTCTTTAAGGTATTGTTACTGTAGGGTAAAGTATTTGGGTAACATTTTAAATCAATGGAAAAAGGAATACTTTGTTCTTCTTTCAAATTCTCTTTTTCGCTGCAGTGCATTTGCTCCATGTTGACATAAAGACACACATTCCCTCATACAAAGACACATCCTATAGAACACCATCAATTTACTTAATAATGCATGAACGAGGTACTCAATTGACATGAAAGGAGACTCGAATAGATTCCTGGCAAGAATAGATGGTTTTGGAGAAAGAAAAGACTGTGGAGGTGCAGTAAATATCGGATTATTGGGATTTCCGGAATTTCCTTCAGCCTATGAGATTTGTTAAGAAAGGTGAAAACAACTTGCCAATTTATCTGCAAAACAACACTACTGCCTGATGGTGAGAAGTGTTAAAAAACGCCAACAGGCAGTACAAGAATTAACTGGTACTTTAATTTCGCTGTCAAAAAAAAAGAAAAAAAAGAAGAAGGAAAGAAAAGTTTAAACATTGGATTTTTCTTGCTTTGTTACAGAGCTGAAGTGCTGTATCACAAGTGCATTTCTAATAAAGATGACATACCTACGAAAATATCCTAACCCATCACAGTACAGGATAGTTTTATGAGATCATTCCACTGCTCTCTAGGCTAATTTGATGAGGACAAATTGGACCCAAGGTGACAACATTTTCTCTAAAATCCCATCATGCCAGTTGACTGACTCTTCTCATTAGCCAATCAAGCTGAAGAGAGCATTCTGCCTGCCAAATGCCCAGCAAGCCCCTCTAGGATCGATTCAACACCATCTACATCAATAGAATTAGTATTGACACAATTCATTTGCTATGCAACCACAATGGGGTCTCACTTTTTCATCATCTTAATATTTCTCCAAAGTGGAGCAGAGAGTGTGGTGGCTCAATTACACCACTGAGCACTCACTCTATGGGCAATTCATTTCTCTTACTCCTTCTGCATGTCCATTTTCACCATCTCTTAATGTCTTTCTCTTCTTTCCTGAGCCGTATCTCCAATCTCCCACTCTTTCTAATCATTTCTCTACATCTACATTACCTGCCTGCCCACTTTGCCTTTCCCTCTTTGTCTGTCTCGCTGTGGTTGTTTCCACTCTCATCCTCTCGTCCACCTGGCTCCCTTTCCTTTGGTGGACACGCAGTCAGGCCGCTGGGCTATATTTGGTCCGGCCGATGATTAAAAGTGCTGGTCTAACCTCTGCCTCAGACAGGCCAATCCATCCCACAGACACCCCACCGCCGCCACACACGGGGAGGCTGAATAATTTATGCACAATATCGAACATGAAAGAAGACCTACTAACACTCCAAAGCCCACCAGCACCCCTTTCCAATCTCTCTGGGTTGTTGAGATGGGTATACTGCCTCAAACCGCGTTTGTTTGCGGATGTGTGTGTGTGTGTGTGTGTGTGTGTATGTGTGTTTGTGTGTGTGTGTGTGTGTGTGTGTAGGGACACCAAACGAGTTTCCCTACTCAATCCTATTGGAGTCTGGCAGTTCTGGTTACTTTCAAATTTCATGGATAGAAAAATGGGGAGGGAGCTCTGTAATTGGAAGCAGCGGTCAAAAATGGTCAAGGAGCACTCAGAAGAGTACTTTGAGGATCAGTAATTTGCTTAGAGAATTTCTGTTTTGAGACACATGTTGCCTAGCAACTCTTGAGCTGGAGAGAGCCAGCGCTTCCAGGCTTTTGTTCCAGCCCAATGAGAAAACACCTGATGGTCAATATAATTTAAACCCTATGGAGTGGATGAGTATTGGGCCAGAACTACCTCTGCTATACAGCATTGAGTGCTTTCCAGTGCGAGTTTCAAGTCTCTGCTGAGCAACTTTGTACTTTTTTTAAAAGAAAATCTCTCAGTGAGTTCAGTAAGACTTTACAAATTCACTGGGTGGCAACTTTGTCTTTCTACGGAGGATTTGTGCCGGAGTTAGAGTGCTGCCTCACCTCCCAAGCGCCCTCATAGTTCTGCTTCTTGAGGCGGACGGCCCAGTTATCGAGGCATGCGTCAGAGCAGTGGTCCATGCTGAGGATAACTGGCCGGCTCAGGACCACCCCAGGAGGGCCACAACTCACAACGGGACTGAGCAGGGTCTGGCAGCCTGCCAGGGGTAACCTATACCAGGGAGAGAAGAGAGAGAGAGAGAGAGAGGGGGGAATGAATTGAGATGAAGTTATTAGTGAGAATTTACTGGTCTCTTGGAAGTATGATATCATACTGTCACCTCTGCAAATTATCTAGCAGCTGTAACAGAGAACAATGAAAGCCTGCTGGACTCACTGACTAGCTAAACCAAGTTGTGATGACTGAGTAACACTATCACACTACGCTACAATGACTGTGCCTTCTGAGACTGAACGTGGCAGGCCAGATACACAGTGTTATCCAAACAATTCATTTAACTTAAACAGTGCACATCCTGGTAAAAGGCTACATTATTTATTTACATCCCTCCTCCACAGTACTGGCATAGACGCTTAAGCCTTTCCTAATGGAACAGTAGAGCATCAATACAAACAGGCTAGTGGCATCCAGGGAAGACTGCCAGTTAGGCAGTGTTAAAGAGACCCACCTTAAATCTTCCTTCCTCTGAACAGTGAGATAAATCTCATAGATCTTTCCTCTGGGGATGGCCTCGGGAGGAATGAGCAGACTGATTCCTAATGCAAATAACAACAAAGGAAGAGAGAAAGGGGGGTAAGGAAGAGGGGGACAGGCTCATTTGTTCTGACTGAACAATGCTTTTGTCATCTCACAAAAGGAAGCCGGCCCACTCAACAAAACTGTATGGCTGCAAAAACAAAAAACAAATCTATTCTGAAGGTCAGAGGCAGCCTCCGTCAGGTACAGTAGATGCAAATCTCTGCACTGGCAGCCGAGGCGGCACACATCCCCACGGTCAACAATTAGCTGAGACAAAGGCGCACACTGCATCGAAGTTTAAATGTCCTCCGTCTGCCACCAAGTAGATAATTGAGACTATGGAGTGGACTACTCCAGGAAAATTGCACTTCCCCAGGAGAGTATGGGAATGCACCTTGGAGAATAGAGAGCGCTATTGAGGTAGTGGGGGTGTTATGGCATATGTGTCAAAAATCTGCAGCTTAGAATTCTGTTTAAAATGTAGTACAAACAGTGACTATGTGACACAATCCTAACAGTTTCTGGATTGTAAACGGAGTCTGTTTACCATCAAAACATCTGTCTGAATAAGGCGAAGGTGCCTGAATGCTCACAGCCTTGTCTGAATCTATAAACCTTCTTGTACCTTCCATGTGCTCGCTCTGCATCTGTGCTAAGTGACAGTATATGTCCTCTGAGTGAATGCATGCAAATGCTGAGTTTTGTTTTTTTCCTGTGTCCCAATGAAAAGATGGGTGCCAATGTGTGGTATAGTCTACATGTCTTCGAGTTAATCCATGCATAAAATATCTGTAAGAGAGCAGAGGAGAGACAGTGAAAAAAATACAGAGAGAAAGAGAGAGAGTGATGGCAAGAAACACAGGGAAAAAAAGACCTTTTCTCCTGGTGTACTGGCGCTGTCATCGGCTAATCTGGACAGCCTACAATGAGCCAAGTGAAAACACTGTCTTCCAGTATAATTATATAAGCTCTGTACTCAGCTAATGTGAAGAGGGGAAGCAAAATAGGGGACTAATGATGTTGGGCTTTTTATATCTTTTATCTTTAATGGACTATCTCTATTCCTCTGTCTATTCTCACAGCACACAACTGACACTTGTGGACATCAGCTACAAATTTGACCAGCTCGGTCATAAGCAAGGGGCCTAATTGGAATAATTTGTCCTAGGTTTTATTCCAGGAATCTTTCAGAATACAATGTATTTGGATTTTATAGGTCATCTCATCACTGCACTGAACATTAATTTTAACTATTCACTATGCAGTATAGTAATAATAATAATCATCATCATAATAATGGTACATTTTATTTATTGAGCGCCTTTCATGGTACTCTTCACATAAGTTATGTGTAGGTTGATGTAGGTTATTGACAAAACATTTTACTCCATCATGCATTTTAGATACTGTAAAAGCAAATAACTTGGTTTTTTTTGTATGATTTAGCTTTTGTGTTAGTCACTTTTTAGATAAACGAGTGAACTCACTTTAATCACCCGGCTAAAACAAGCCACTCATGCATTTTGTGGTGTCTCGTTTGTTCCTTATAACGGTTATAAACTAATTTGTATCACAGAGAGAAATACAGCCTGTGCACTAAGCTGTTTTGTGTGAAGCGCTCAAACACTTTTATGTGCGTTATCCCGGTACAAACCTATTAGAAAACCCACATGCACGAGATTTAAAGGCTGAATGGTCTGGGTTGGTTTCAACAAGACAGTGAGACGTTTATGGGACTCAGCTGTTACTGATAAATTGTCCTTGTTAATGTCCAGTCGGAGGCATTGTGTCATTAAAGCAGGTGTAATAAAGTTTCTGTAAATGTTCTTATTTTATGTAAAAGCAATGCCAATGTATTTAAAATGTGCAATACAAATAAAAACTGATTTGTTCCCACCGTATTTCTACATTTAGTAGCAGATGTTGTCTGATTGTTTAGATAGAACTTTTGTTTGTTTGAAGTATAGCAGAAAACAGAACATCCTTCAGAGGATTACTAAAATCTCCCTGTCCTTAGATGACATAGACTTACAATGCTGTGTCTACTAAAACAATACCTGAATGAAAACTACTCTGCTTTTACTGTCCAACTCTGGTATATAAGTTTCTACCATTGCCTTCTCATCTTTTCATAAATTACATTTACAAATTACAGTAGGAAGCAGTAAACTGGCCCTGACCTAGAAAACCGATTATACATTGTTGCCCTTCAGTTCTCACCTACATTTATTACAATTGGACCTCGAGCTGTAAACATAAAGACTGGGAGGTAATCCATCGATCCATCAAACAGTACTGGGGGACTTTCATCCAGCTTCATTAGCGCTACATGGACTGACACCAATCCATGCTGCTCTTTAATTTACCCTATGTGTTTTTTCTCTGGTGTCACAAAGTGCTAGCAAAAAAGAGAACTGATAATGAGCATTGTTAGTTGAAAGTGCTACTTGACCTCATATATCACATCAAGGTTGGACAGGTAAAAGACTATCGTCTTGTCTTCAAAAGCTAAACTTCTATTAAATCCACCAGTTAAAATAGCAACGTCCCAATCTGTATAAAATGTATGTATATCCCATATTTAAAGACCATTTGGTAGCTGTAGCATAACATATTATTGATATATGTTTTTTTCCTGCTATGTCAGGATGAAAAGGAGTTAAAACAGGAGCATGTTGAACTTGCATCCTACACTGTCCGTTTTAGCAGCTCCACATTGCAGATAAGTGAAACACAAGTGACACAACAGTAACTATTACCATAATATTACAGAAGAAAATACCTCTTTTGGTCCTGTTTATGATACATGAGTGCAAAATGCAGCCTCAAATAATAATGCTTATAATCTATTATCGCAGTAATGTGCTGTATAATCAGTGATTTTATTTCCCCAAATGGGTCCACTATGATACAGGATGACATCCCCAAAGCTGCCCATCCATATGACTTTATGTTTACATCTCGTTTACATCAGTTTTTTTTATAAATAGTCTGTGAGAACATGAACTGGACCAAAACAGCAACAATTTTCTTCTTCCTTTCTTGGTCCAAACTAATCTAACTGAACTACAGGCATGAATGCACCCTTAGAAATCCATATTTACCTCAAAAAGAAACCCACCTGTGTTAGGGATCGTCAGCCTCCCTCCCAGGAAGTTGAAGGTCCCATAGGAGGTGTTGGCTACATCACGGGGCAGCGTTTTAAAGTAGCTCTGAGTAGACAGCCTGCTCACAAACTCAGCGGGGTCCGAATTAAGCTTGCCATTGTGCAGAGTGTGCGAGCCGTTGGGAAGCGGGTCCAGCAGAGGCCCGTTGGTCATTGAAAACTTCCCAGTGGCATCATGGCGAGAGCGTAGGGTGCCTTGGTAACTGGTGGTGGTAGTGGTTAGATCAGGCTGGATGGTGAGCAAATGGGAATTCTCTGTTAAAATAATAATAAAAAAAAAACAGACAAAAGCAAATGTGTGAATCTCCATGAGTGGCAGGCGGGTTGGTTCATACATCACAGAGACAGACCTCACACTCTCTAAAGCTGTCGCAACACACACAGAAAACTGAAACAAACAGGAAGAGACACATGGTGCAGAAAACAGAAAACTCACACGCACACACTCTTGACAATACACAAACACAAATTCCACCTAAAGCCAGTCTATTCCCCTTCCCTCTCTCTCTCTCTCTCTCTCTCTCTGTCTCTCTGTCTGTCTCTTTAGCAACCACACAATCAATTCCAAACAGAACTCAGATGCAGCTTAGCACCCAGAACGTATAAAGGCTTTTTTCACGGTGAATCACAGGCACTGCAACCCAGTTCCCCATCTCCATCCAACTCAGACAGTTGTATTTCTATTACTCGCTGGTAAACCTCAGAGGCTCTACAGAGGCAGTAAACAGAGTGGGTACATTTCCTGACAATGAGGTGGTGGCGAAACATAATGTGTCAGGCAGGCAAATAAACAGCGCGTGCACCACACACACACACACACACACACACACACACACACACACACACACACACAAATACATCTTGCTTAGACTATAAACCACTGTAAACACATTCACACCACCTCCACAACCACAAACAAACACAGGATCAGTGGTACATGTAGATGAGTGCTTCACGGTCACGGTGGGCAGACGGACAGACCGACGGACGCACAGAGGAGGGTAGAACAAAGAACAGTGTCCTACTGCTGTGGGGGGGAGGCCTGCGTGGCCGCGGTGCCCACACACCTGGCTTGCTGGGCTTGATGCCCATGGGCTGGAAGCCAGTGGTGAGGATGGAGGAGTCTGCCACGTCGGCATCCAGGCCCTCCTTCTTGCGCCGGTAGACCAAGACTACCACGATGAGAAGCAGAGTCAGACACAGAGCCACCGCCACCATACCCACGTAGAGTGCCACGTCCTCTGCCCCGCTCACAGCTGCAAAGGGAGGACACCAGGAAAGAAATTATTAACCACGACTGAAAACCTCCCTTGGGTATTGAACGACAATACCAACATGCTCTGCTGCGATATTTTCTATTATTCAGTGTGAAGGTCTCACTTGAGAATCTGTTTAATAGCATGAAACCAGCTTCACATTGCTTTGCTTTCCACCTAATGCTGCTCGCCTTTGTCCCTGCCTATTTGATGCAGAGACAGCATTAGCAAATATTAGACAACCATCTTGATTTGAAGTCTTTTTATAAGCCTAAAGCTCGTCTACTTGCAGACAATCGGAAAGGAGAAAGAGCCAGTTCCTGTAGAAGGTTTTCAGCGTTACCTTACTTCATTTCTGCACTGGATAAATATATCTTGTGCTAGCATGTTCTTTCTCTCCCCTGTCTTTTTCTCTCTGTCTCTAAGCACACAACACCCCCAAGAGAAGACAGTGGAAAAATGAAGGATTTACTTATGAAATTCTAGCACCTCTTATTGAATGTCTCTCTCTCTCTCTCTCAAAAGCATAAGAGTGCCTTTCTCCCAAAAGTACAGTATGAAGATGACAGCTAAGCCCAGACAAATATCAATGTGTGTGTATGCACTGAGTGTGTGTGTGTGTGTGTGTGTGTGTGTGTGTGTTTTGCAGGAGAATGGGATTTGCCACGGCTGTCTCCCTGGGCTGGGGGAATTTGGTGGCGGAGGTGGAGGATGCTCCTGGGGCCTTTGTAGAGGGCCATTGTCCCGGGGAGCCACGGGGGCGTAGCGCTGTCAACTGAACACAGTCAAGGAGGGGACGCATTGAGCAGCGCAGCTTTGAGGGATGGAGAACAGCGGCAAAGGTTAAAGTGCTGCAGGCTGGCGTGCGTTGAGTTGACAACAAAAGGAGGAGGACAGAAGCAGGGAGAGAAGAGCCAACATACAAGAATGAAAATGAAAATTAAAAGAGGGACAAAAGGGAGACAGCATGTGCCTGTGACTGACAGCATGTGTGATTTGCATTTCAGCAATAAGCAGCAATAACACGTCCAGAAGGTTTGTGTCAAAATCAACCTGATTAACATTAGATAACATATTTTGAGGAATATCTCCAGACTGGCGTTGTGTTTTTCCACCACTGTGTATTCCTACAGCTTGACAGGAACTGCACCCAACCTTGGAAACACAGATTTGACAAGTTTTAATTGGTGTTAGTAAATCTGTGACATGAGAATGGCACAATTAAATTAGCAGAGTGCTAACATTCAAGTTTGTAAAAAAAAGAGAAAGAGAGAAAATGGTCAAAAAAGTATTCTTTCTCTATGTCTCTCACTCTCATCTCTATTCATCTCCTTTTATCCGTTTGTCCTTGCCTCCTCCTTTTGCCTTGAAAAATCCATTTCTTTGGACAAAGCTGCCTGACATACCCAAGTATTTAAGAGGAATGCCAGAATCTATTTTATGGGTGATTATCTCAGTACAATCTGAAACCTTAAGTAGCGGGATTATATGCAGCCAAGCTCTATGGCGGCCCGTTGTAATGCCAGAGATCTCTTGACATCTAATCAATTGTGAATGACTGGCTGAAGATAAACATGAGATCGTGTTTTGTTCTTGCCATCACATTGCACATCGGCGCAGAACATACTTATGACACGTAGAATCTTACAGGATACATACACCCTCTCATCCTGTCCATTTACCTGCCTGTGCCTCTCTCTTCTGACTCCCGTCTCTCTCTCTCCCTCTCTCTCTCTCTCTCTCACTTTCTCTCCTCAGGGAAGCATAGAGGTGCTTAACTGTAAGCAGCCTGGCTAAACCTTCCACCTTCCAGAATGAGCTCCCAAAAAAGGGGGGAGAGACTATGGCTGAACCTCTCATTAAAGTTCCCAAATCCAATTGTCTTGGTGAGTCAAAGGCCAGACAAGGCTGTGATATTTGGACTTCTAGCACTGTAGTCTACAGAGAGATGTGCACTCTGACTAAAGACAAAACAACACCCGTCAGCAAGGAGACAGGCCTACTGGGTTCTGCTGATTGGATAAACATAGCCTTAGATTGGCTGGTTGCTGTTTACTTTGAGGGCAAACCAAAGGCACCTAAGCCAACCTCAGATGCAAAGATCCAGTATCTCTACTCTTCCTTTTCCCCTGCACACACCATTCTTGTACCCAGACAATAAAGTCAGTCAATCAGTCAACTCTCTCTCTTTCTTCCTCCCTCTCTCTATCCCTCTCTCCCTCTATTCTGTCTGTAATCTCCGGTGGCTTATCGGAGCATCACCGAGTGAAGTTTTATCTGACCCACCAGGTGTCACAGCGCAACGATCCCCATGCTCGCTACAACCCTGACCAGCAACTGCTCTCAGCTCCTCCTGGCCCCCCACTCATTGATTTTCATGATGCCAGCCAATAATTGAAAGGACATCCATCACACTTTAATTGACATTGCTAATCAGGTTTTATAATTGGATGGGCTTTACTTTAGCCCCCCCCGCCTAGCTCTCTCTAACTCTTTTGCCACACACACCACCACCAATTTACCTCTATACCTCTCTGCGGCACGTCACTGCTTTGTTCATTTCCACTTGACGTAATTGCTGGCGAAGAACTTTTGATTCTCTTTGTGTGTGACCTCTCTTCATGATTGACATCCGCCTGCGGATAATCTGTGGATGTTATGAGCGGTTTTCAGAGTTGACCCAGGGCCAATCTCTGTTTGTTCCCCTCTCCTGCAGCTTTCAGTTCAGCTCCTCAGACTCGCTCCAGGGCCGGCTGGTTAGGGATCAGTTTCTGACTTGAGATGGCCAAATATGGACTTATAATTCATCTCCTCTGAGGCGATGTACTAGGCTCCTGTTGAAGTTTGGACTCTTGCCGCATTGGCAGTCAGCACAATGTCTGCACCCGATAGTCCTCAACTCTCTCTACCTGCTCCTTTCTCTCTCTTGCATTGATAAATAAAAGCTGTGCAGCCTCCTGCACCTCCTCCTTGGGCATTTATCAAGAGACCTGAGAATATATTTCATCCCATGGCCAATCCCAGTCAACCGCCCGAAGATGAATAACACTGGAGTTCTTAAGGTCAGGGAAATATGGCTACTAAAACTCTCAAAGTGAACGTGACCATTACTATCTCCACAATACAGTCGTCCCATCCCTCAGCGGGTCCTGGTGAAATATGGCCCAAAATAAATGTTCAGCCATTTTTCACACAGCCTGTGACCCCCGCTCTGACAAACAAACCCATGACGAGAACATCAGTTACTTTGCCACCAAATTAGCCCCCAAATTCATAAGCAGACTAAAGACAGCTTAACAGTTTGAATCACTTGTGACACTCCCAAAATGGGATGCTGCTGCAAATTAAGTTCATTACCTTCATCACACACATTAAGCCAAATAATTGTCTTTACGTTGTCCTTATTTCCTGTGTTTGAGAATACGAGCAGTATTATATTTCCCCCACTGTCATTTTTGTGCCCTCTAACACCTGTCTGTCATTTTGGCTCTGGCTCTGTGCCAGTGCATTTATTATTTCTTTGGACATATTTTGCGTAGCTCCATCTTGGGCTTCACTTGTTTGCTTTATGAAAATGATCCTGCCTGGGTCAGATCTGTTCATTTTGGAGCTGTAACACAAAGCTTGCTGCCCGCACACTGATTCTCATATATGCAATACCCAAAACAATAACCCTAGCTAACATGTGCCATTTATGGCTTAATGGGGGAGATTAGAGATGTTTGTGAGGTCCTCAGACAGAGGACATCTTTTGTGGCAGAGTGACTACGGCTCAGTATGCACTAGTATTGTTCAATTACACTGGAGAAGAGAAGGGTGTCTTTTGTTTCAGGAGGAAGTTTTCCATCTCAGCTAATAGCCTGCAGACATGGTTGAAGTATGGGAGTTGCTGACAAGCCAAAACCATCTTGCTATTTTGCTTATTATAATACTTCACACAGCCGTTGTCTATGGAAACACATCTGCTGGGAACAGATTGGGACAGGCATTCTTCAGAGGCCAGCGCTCTGCTCTGCACTGTCAGTGTAAATACTGAGCGACTGTGTGTGTGCATGTTTGTGTGTGTGTAAGGAACAATGATTGGCATCTTTGTGTATATATCTTGCCTCTCTGGGGAGGAGCTGCTGACCTTTGATGATGGGCCGACTGAGCTCCCTGGTTCACTGCACCAGCCAAACTCCGCTAACGGTTGACACACGCATGCACATGCATGCACACACGCAGACACGTACTCACATGTAGTGCTAACACATATACACGATGCAACATTAACACAGTTGCTCTCCATGCATCGGTCTATCCAATCATGTCAATAAGTGCAAGATACATAATTCAGTTTATTGTTGTCAACCAAATCCCTATTTAAACTCTGTTTACCATGCATATCAGCCAAAGAGCACATTATTTATAAAATTTTCTCTATGAGACGCCACCCTGAGACTCATTATTTTTGGATGGGAAGCTGCAATATCTTTCCGTCTTTGATATCTGTAGGGAGCGACAGAGCTCTTCCTTCATGTCCATCTGGTCAGCAGAGGACCCTGCAGTGCCACTTTCCACTTAGCTGCCGGCTCGTGCTGCACGAGCCTCGTGGTTTCTAATCCTGACAGTATGCACATGCCCTATTAATGACATGCAGGGAGTGGCATCACAGTACTGGCTGTTTTACACAAAAAAATGAAATACACATTGCTGCTATAGAAACGCAAATGCATGTTGAGAACTGCACACATGCCTGCATGTACATTTTCCTGGCCGACTTGACTCGTGGCACTTTATCTGGCAGGTTGTGTTTCAATCATAGGAGAGATGGTTTAATTCTCAGCTCTATTAATAGGTCAGCATCAGCAGCATTTATTAGAAACGATTGTCTAAAAAGGTCACAGCTGGGGACAGGCCAGTAATAGTCCGCAGAGTCAGTCAGTGTCTTATGGGATTGACGTCTTTCCTTTATGAACCATATTCTAAGATATACTCAACATCTATCACAGGAAGCTGATGCCATAAGGATGCATAAAATGTTTATTTGATCTGATAAAAAGAGGAGAAGGACACTCACACTACTTGTCGAAGTGGAAACTGTAGTCAAAAGCAAAAAGCATGAAGGGAAAAGCCTTCCCTCCCCTTCCTCTCTACCTGCCTTTGTGTAGAGGCTAATTGATGCTAATGCTGTACACCTGTTCTCCATGTATTGTTTGTGATCTTCTTGTTGTTGTGTTTGATGGAGGTCCTGGCCTTGAGAGTGTCACGCTTCATGTTTTCTCTAGCTACAGCTCTCAAATGTTATTATAAGCACATTTATTGATTTCAAAATGTTCATCTGCTGCTCATCAGCTCAGTTACATTAAGCAAATATGTAACTAAACTGCATTCTACTGATCCTTTTCCAGAAGAGTGGTTAAAAATAACTTGTTCTACTGCATCTATTTCTATTGTTCTGAGTTGAACAGTTTGGTTTGCAGTATGTGGGTGGTAGTGCACTCACTCTGTGGGCACTGCTCGCTGGTACAGTTGAGCGACTGGAGGTCGAGCCCCTGGCATTCTTTGCCCCCTGTGCCAGGTGAAGGCTGGGTGCACTCCCTGCTCCTCCACATTGAACAGTCTGCGCCGCACGCCGACCACTTGCTCCACTCACTCCAGCCTCCGTCAACTGCAAACACACAAAATACACAAGGGTGAGCACGAACACACACACACACACACACACACACACACACACACACACACACAGCAGCAAAAACTCAAAACGATTCACTTCAAACACTTCAACACGAGAAAAAGTATTGATCGGAAAACATGCCGAATAATGTAAATAAAACAAGCTATAACTCTATTTCTTTTTATTATTTATTTTACAAACAGTGAAATGTTAAAGTTCTACATGGTGAAGTTCAGATGTGTGTAAAATCAGTGGTGTATTTGCGTGTCAGATGAGAACAACTGGTAGAATACTCTGTTGCCATCCTGTGCAAATCCACTCGCTCTAAAATGGAAACCTGGTAGGGAAAGCATTAGAAAGACATGCAAATCCACTCGCACACACTCAAATCCAGCAGATGCACAGGGAGACCAAAGCGTGTAAAAGTGCTGAGGAGAGCCATATTGTCTCTATTCTGCTTTCTTTGTTTATTTTCAACATGGAAATCATATGCAACTAAGCTAAACCCCACTGGTATGAGGGTGCTTTGGACTGGTAGACCCAGCTGTCAACAAACTAAATCTGTACAGGGAGAAGAATTTCACCCCAGAGAAATTGGCCCTTCAGTCTACTGTACATAGATGCACAAGCAAATATCTCTAGTTAAAAAATTTGCCTAAAAATATGAACATTTGTGGGAAGGAACAAATCTGCTTTGGTTTGATTTTTTTTTTCGCAAAACAAGCTGTTACTATAGCAACATGAGCATTACCTGCAGTGAATTTGAATGCAACACAGTACAGGTGGTATTACTCTGAACATTACTGTACATTACACCAGCAGCTCTTTCTGTCTACCATGACTTCAAACACACACCACCATCAGCACGAGCAAAATGAAACAAATGGAAATGGGCTGGTAATAGTTCTGAGAGGGCCCTGCTGTAAGAAATCTAAGCAGCTTTACCACACGCAGAGAGGAAAGGCCATTTTACAAAGGTGGGGGTAATTTGGCATTGTGGCCGGGTTGGGGCGAGGACTGGGAGTGATATTGACAGTGACACAGCGCCAGGCCCGGGGAAGGTTACCATAGGGCTAATGGGAAAAAGAGCAATAATGAGCTCTCATGGGAGAAAAACGCCACCGTCTCGCTCTCTCTCTCCCAAATGTAAGGGTGAAGGGGACCAGACAAGAATCACCAGAGCTGCACACATGGAGACACACACACACACACACACACACACACACACACACACACACACACACACACACACACACACACACACACACACACACACACACACACACACACAGAACAAGCACACCTCTATGACAGCAGTAACCCTCCTCCTGACTGACCTAAGGGCAAGGAAACCTTAGTGCTCATTAATCCTAGCAATAAAGAGTGCAGGGGCCATGACCCCAAGAGAATCTGACCCGCTGCAGGTCAGAGGCTTTGGTTAATAAAACATAAGTGAGATGTTACTCAAGGTGGGATACCTATTATTGCATAACTGTACCAAGTAATGATGTTATTTGGTTTGAGAGTGAGTACTCAATTGGAAAAGCAGCTAAAAGGCACTGTGAGCGTATTAGGCCATAGGCACAGGTGTGTGAATTAGACCCTGGTCTCACACAAATCTGCAAGTTTGCCCGTGTGTGTCCTCAAACGATTGCTAGAGAATGTGAGAGTGTTATTGTGTGTATGTGTGTGTGGGTGTGTGTGTGTTGGGATGCTGACACAGCTCGGGCCTCTTTGCAGTCAGATCCATTTGGCAGAGAGAGCAGAACCAATCAGATAATTGTCCTTGTTTGGCATTGAGTGGACCCATCCGTGGGCCAGTGGGCTGATTATCCAGGCTGGGAATGAGAATGATTGAATAGCGAATTACATCCTAATGAATATATTATGTCACCCCTCAGTTTATCCACACCACTGTGAAATAAAGAGATGAGATCAACATCTGCCCTGATGAGGTGATGAAATTCTACTTCTCTTTACCACCACAAAGCAAGACTAATGGCCATGCAAATAACATTTTCAAACAAGGAGATTGGAGTGGAAAACAGGGTGCTGCTCATGAGAATGTGGATGAGACGGGAACACAGCAACCCGAGGCTGAGGAAAATCAAAGAAAGATGGAGAAGCATAAACAGTTCTTGATGGCCTGTCTGACTCTGAACACATGTTGCAAATATTTCAGAAACAGAAGCAACTTTCCACAGGAGCAGACACCAAAGAAATGTTTGGACAGCATAAGAAGAAGTGGAAAGACAGTAAGTGGCTACACAATAAATGCAGTGAAGGAAGAAAATTGACACTTCCCTTGATTTCCTTTTTTTCAGATTCAACATGGAAATCAGAACCAAACCTCATCCTTTTACTTTTTTTATAATCCACATAAGGACATTGTTATCCACAGCTGCAGTTTTCCTTATCAAATCCCCAGAAAGAGATTGCAAAAGGCACCACAGCTGATTTTCAATCATGCAGCACCACAGGTTTTAGGTCAGGCAGGTCTCTGAGGAGGGACAGTAATACAATGGCCCAGTGGCAAGCCACCATTTGGACATGTTGTCAAGGGGAGAAGCAAAAGGAACCCGACCATTCTGTACAGGTCGGTAGGAGGGCCTGTTTGAGGCTTTGCTGTTCAAAATGACAATGGCTGCTGACGAACACAGTCTGAGATCATCGGACACCTATGGTTTCCGTGTCCTTGAGGGGAACACGAGGAGGTAGACAAGTACCACTGAGACCAGCAGGTCTCCCCTCTGCCCCCACTGTCCTGTCAACACACATGTGTGCACAGCAACCACCCCTTATGCCAGTGTTCAAAGGCTGATTGAAAAAAAATGTAACAGAAAACCACAGACACATGGCAGGGGGTTGATAGTTCAGCCACAGAAGTGGGTGATGCAACCGAGATTAATAACTAAACCTTGCTCTGTATTTCAGACACATTTTATATAGTTACAAATCAGGTTTTTCTTAGTGGTTGTAATATAGATAACAGCACAACAAAGCCGAGTCTACTCCCTTATGTTAAATAAACCACTAGAACAAACCGAAATGAGACAGAATGACATATGAAGAGGGTGAGCCAAAACAAATGGCACAGAATGATTAAAAACAGCGCTGATGCAAGGCTGTCACAAGGCTGTCACCAGATGGCCACTGTCTTTTCGCAGTGAACTAATGTGTTTTTCTGTCACATTTATTAGCCACAGCCTTTATTTATTCCTTGGATAAAATATGGAGTCTCAAGAAAAATCTCTGATAATACCCAAAGAGACACAAATGCTTACTTCCAAAGTAGAATTAGACATTTGCCTGCAGTGCAGACAGTAGACATATGGGTGCTAACTTGCATGTGTACGACACGTACACGCACAAACACACGCTTACAAGAACGCGTGCACAAATACACCAGCCCCGAGTCTGTTTATTTTCCATCTACTAGAATTCTCATGACTCCTCTGGCAAGCCTGAGGGATCAGTACAATATTTAAATAATTCACACTAGTTAGAAATCTCTTCAGGTTGTTTGCTCTTCTCTAACACATCAGCAACAGTTCCATTAATTTGTGTGGGGCAGGTGTCACTTCCAAAACTGGGGACTAACTATTTGCTGTTGGCACAGGTTGCATGTCTTTGTTAGAAATGCTGGCGTGATCTGACATTTTGCCATGACTGTTGGCTCCGACTACAACTCTGCTTGTGCTTGTGCTGGGGCAGTCAATGAAAGGGTGAGGGATGGACTGCAGATTGATGCGGAATACAGCGGGATATGAAGAGATGGAGACAAAAGAAAAGGAGAAGGCAGAGAGAGGAAAGAAAGAAATGGAGATAAGCTCTTGCATAGTTTGGCTACTGGCTGTCTCAAGTGTTGATCTGCTCTGCTCTGAGCCTTAGGCTTTAGCCTCAGCCTCCTCCTCCTCCTCCTCCTCCTCCACAGCTCCCTGTGTCTCTCACAGCATGGAGCCCATCTGATCTGCCACACAGGCCTCCGCCAACTCTCATTAAACACTTTGGAGACTTAGACAAAAATACAGATGAGCCTCTCTAGCTTCACACTTTCCAGATGAGAGGTGGGAGCTCACATTTAGATACAAGAGTCATTGTGAACGGACATGTGGAGAGCTCTGTTACTGAACAGACCGCTGTAGATGGTGTCAGTCTATGGAAGGCCATATGAAGTATGTGTACGAAAATATGCCTCTGAGGGTGTAGCTAAGCACTGCTCTGAAGGAATGATGCTACTTTTTAAATGTGGAACAACACATGGCCATCGGCATTTCAACAAGAAATATATATATAGACTTAGCTGGGCAATGCAGGGACAAATTATAGCGTTTGCATGTTGTTGGTTCCAAATTTGAATTGATTTGTTTCCAGTGAAAAATTCATTCAGCTGACAGCATCTCTTTCTCCCTAGAGGAGGAGTACAGCAAATCTGTAAGGCCAATTGTGTGTTTTAGACAAAACAGAAACAGACTGCAACTTACAAAGAATAAGCAGCTGAAAAATAAAAATATATATTTTTTGTAACCCATTTCAAAGACCTAATGCTGTGACTTAAATGCACAAGAGAGATAATAATGAACAAAGAATCTTAGTCTAGATAATTAATGAACTCTTGAAACAAGACCAGCATTAAAATCATACAATTTTTAAAATGCAGCTCAAAAACAAAAGGCACTGTAGAGGAGAAATGCCTCTCAAGGCTGACTTAAAAAATAAAGAAGACTGCTTCGGAATCCAAATGTCAGCCTTGTCTAAATAAATAACATGATGTCTATCTGCAGCATTACAGCTCCCCATGTAATTCATTCTTCTCAAATCTATTTCTTCAGAAGAAAAACTGAAATTACCTCTGCTGTGCATCTAGTGGATTAGACCTGCGAAGGCTATATGCACAGTGACAATTAAAGTTGTTAACCAGTATGTAAGGATGCTCTCTGCCAGGCTGGCCTCATCTGCTCCCTCTTGCTGAACATGACTGCTGAAAATGAAAGCGTCTATTCATTTATTCAGGCTGATGATTCATACATGCGTTAATCATGTGTTTGATGAATCAAAGTAAGGATTCAGATGTATTTGGGGGTTGTCTTTGCTGGGTGACAAATGATGGGAGCACACAGTTTATCTTGGGGGGCTTCAGAGGCATGTCTGTGAGTACACAACAGAGCTGCGGTGCCACTTGTGATCGGAAACAACAGCCCACAATCCCCAGGCTCTGGCGTGGTGAACTTCGGCCTTGACGGGGACCCTCTCTGGGGTCCGACAGCTGGGGCTGTCTGCACCACTGATGTTCTGTCTGAGACAGGTAACAAGTGAGAAAAGGAGGCAGAGACTACGCTCTGTTGCCGAACCACGGGACTGATAGAGGTGTGAATGGGGTCAAGTCGCTGTAGCATCTCTCATCAAGAGAAAAAAACAGTTCTTTCTCTCCTAAAGTCTCTGCAAACTGCGTTCACGGGGCACAATGCAATTTCTGTCACAGCACCCTCAGAGTTGAAATTACACACTTTCTCCTTGTGGGGCAAGAGAAAGAGAGAGGAGGGCGGGGTCTGCTCTAACAATAGCAGCATGGACTGACATTAATCTCTTTAAGCTCATGGAGGTCAGTATCCTGCTTTGCTACAGGGGAATGTCAAGCATCCCTGGACACCCCTCTAATTCCATTACTCATTGCCCCAGCGCTAATAATCCCAAATCCATCCAGATAGGGTCTTGATGGAGCGTCATCCATTTCTGTGTTTCCTTTGTCTTCCTCCTCGTGCTGTATTCCGGCGGGCCATGTTACTTACACTCACGCTTGACATCTAGTGATGTCTTTACATGGGAGATGTGTAACACAACTCCCTGATTCACTGAGGAAGATAACCTCTGTTTTAGGCAGGGAGAAGCTGCCACTGCCAGAGGTGTTAGATTTCCCTCTCTGCTATTTACCGAGCGTGGGAGATTTCTCCTGCGGTCAGCATGGCTGCAGAGCCCCAGCTATATGTCCACAGACTGATCTGCTGGCAGCCAAACAGCCAGCTCTTGCACACACTTAGGCTTTCTCTACCTCTTTCTCAGTTTTCCTCATCTCCCTCTCTCTCTCAGCTTTGTTCCTGCCTTCCTTACACTGTATCTGATTCCATCTGTCTCTATCCCTGCTTTCACCTTACACCTCCTTTTTCCCATCCTGCTCTCTCTCTCTCTGTTGCTATCTCTCCCTCTGTCAGGGGGCTAATGTGGTACTGCAAATGAAGCAGCTTGACTTCCATCTCAGGCTACCAGAGATCGATATGTGTTGCTCAGTATCAGGCAGGACACTCTCTGCCTCTCCAACGCTCTCACAAGGGAGAGCGGGCAGGCAAATGAAACGCCCTCAACTACTCACACGTAAACATGGCACACAGGCTGCCATAACTCAGCTTTTTATTGCCCATATTTACTATATAGCTTGAGCAGCATACAATAACAAATGTACTAGCTGGTCTGACACAACGCCATGGCTGGGACCATGTCTCTTAAAGCAGACAGGTCTCTGAAATAAAAGCAGGGTCTGCCAACAGTGCAGAAGATAAAGAGATATGTGAACAAAGAGTGATAATAATAAATCACTTTCAGGATGAGGTCTTACTGTGAAGACTAATAGGCTCTGACATTGCTGTGTAAGCGGTCTAATTGCAGGAAACAACAGAAGCACTGACATCTAAGAAAAGACCTGGGTGCTGGTACAAAAGGCAGCCAAAATAAAGATGAATTGATGACTTCTAGATGCAAAAAAATGCAAAAAGGAAGCCACAGGAAGCCAAGCGCCACAGGACAAACAGGGTTGCCTGGGAGTTACCTGGACAGGTGGCCACGCAGGCACTTTTCTGGACGTTCTGCCCCTCACAGGATGTGCCTCCATTCAGTGGCGTAGGATTGGTGCAGCTCCGACTCCTCTTCTGCCAGCCACGCCCACACACGGCACTGCAGGACGACCAGGTGGTCCACGTGGACCAGCCGCCGTTGACTGTCAGGCCAGCGCCAGTGGGGGATGCAGGGGTGAGGGAGGGGGAAGGTTGGAGGGAGGGAGGGATGGATGGATGAAGGGACAGAGCAGCCAGGATTACCCGACATGCACTATGGAAAAGAGGTGCTAGAATACTCGTGACTGCTGTTACACTCTTTGGTTCAGCACTGCAAGGTGAACTAATGGAAGAGCAAGAGCAAAGGGGGCCGCTTCCTGTGTCCAAGTTGGAATTACACCCAACTGCAGTGGAAACAAAATGGCTTCAACAGGGAGCAGAAAATAACTTGTCAGCTTGCCATCTTTGACCTTATCTCTGAAGAAGGCACAGTTGCTGCAAAATAACTAGTGGACATTTTAAATATGCCTCCATTTTAAAAAAAACACCAAGGTAATGCAAGACATTATACAAAACACTCATAATACACTCAGAATATAATCACTGTAAAGAAATGCCATTTAAAGCAAAATGCTAATGGTCATAAATGCATTAAAAAACAACACATACTCCTTGGAAATGCCAAGGGACTACTAAAAAATAAATATATCATGGCTGTTCCAGTAATTTAGATTATGTCCTTCACTAATCCACCACTGATTTCACACCATTACACGTCATTCTTCAAACTCAAGTTTTCTTTAAATTGTAGAGAACAACCCTGTATAATTTATTCCTCTTTTATATTTGAAACTGGAAAGTTCAGGCAGTTCAGAAACTCTGCACATTGAATTCCTATTATTACAGCTACTTGCAGTACCCAGTGCCCATGTTCTGAACCTTAACCGTCTATTGGCACATAATTGTTGCTATATCGCTCGATCATGGCAGGTGTTTACATCAAATCACGCTGGTTTGATTCTAATCAGCTCCTTCCTGTATCTCCTGTGTTTGCCTCAGCTTACAAGATACTGAGATTCCTGATTTATTGACTTGAATAGCACTGTCGTTCTTTCTCTGTACATACTCCCTTCCTAATTTCCCCCTAACTCTCTTCTGTGCTTGTCGTGGCTGAATCATTTCCTTGCCCTCTCTATGCGATTGATTGCCCGCCACTGCGAGGTAAATTGCCAGGCAACTCGGCCCCTGATTACCTCTTAGCACAGAGTGCAGTCACACCAGCCAGGCCTTGTTAAAATGCATCTCTGGCCCCCTGTTGAACCTGCTTTGAAAAGTAGCGATTATTATGACTTTCTACAGCTAGCTAGATCATCTAGTATGGTGGACTGTGATGCTCTCAGGTAACCGATGAGGTAGGTACATTTTACTTTTTCTGCTACTGAACAACACAAGTAAACAGCAGTAACAGGTAATTTTTTGAGCAAGAGCACTTCGATTGGAATTTAACCTCAATTAATACAGCAATGGTAATACATTTGTCATCTTGTCAAGCACAGAGTGATGAAGAAATAAAATTGCACATGCAAGCACCCCAGCAATTCGTTCCAAATTTTTCAGTTCTAAGAGTAAGAACTATTGTTTGACAAAAGAAAAACAAAAAAAAAACAATTACAGTGCGAACACTCTTACCTCCACAGTCATTTCACTTCTTTCAACAACAAGCTAATCAATTATAATCAACAGTTAAGAATGTGTTTTTATTTTTTTTATGCTGGAGGTTTGGAGGAGTGATAATGTGTGTTTTGACTGCATGCTCCAAATGAACAGATTTCATTTGAAACCATTGACCTTGAAGGTGCACAATTCAATTATCAACCACATTAGAGAAAGAGCACTATTTAAAAGTTTGAAACATCTTCAGTTTGTTTGATTACAAAATTGGCCTAAAAAAGGAAATTACTTGAAGTGTTTTATCTAAAATACAATGATCTCTGTTAGTCTCGTCCTTTTTTATTGTTAAATATTGATTTGATAACTTACAATTATAAACTAAGTAGAAACATGCATGAGTTTTCTCACTCTAGTTCATCAGTCTAATGTGTATGTTTGGATATGGTAGAGAAAACATTTTGTCCTTGACACATAAAGGCTCCAAAGCCATCCATAAATGACCCTCACTTTCCTCACTATGCTCGTGTTTTCTTTAGCTGAATTCATCCTACGCCCTAAATTCCATTGAGCTTTTGTTAGCTGAAAAAGCAGACTAACTGCATTCTTAAGTGGAAATTAATATTCAAGTAGCTACAAGCTGAAAATGAGAACTGCATCACATATTAAATTTTGATCAAATAATTCCCCCTGACACCCTGATTACGGGAGGGACATGCATACTTACAGTGTGTTTCATGTATTTCAAAATGACTAACTCTATGAAAATAACCTGATGTTTCCTTTAAATATACTCTAATACTTTATTATATATATCTATATCTATTGTACAGATCTCACACAAAACATTTAAATGAATTAATTGTTAAATCATTTTATAGCAGAACAATGCAAAAACTGAAGAGGCGTGCGTGCTTCTAAATAGTGCGGTATATTTGTGGCATATGGTGTGTTTTCTCTTCTGTCATATTAGATAATATACAATAACTCTTCACAACACATCATAGTATCATTTGGCAGACCCTGTGTCAGACATTGTGCCAGATTATACATTTCTTATGTGCATAAAGTTGCTTTCATGATGCATTCCCACATGATTTCCATATCCTGTTTGCATGTACATGTACCATGTAGCTGAGAATTAAGTCAGGCTGCAACGTATGCAAAACCTGAGTAGTGCCAGTACCCAAGGAACCCTCTGTGATAGAAAATATGCTGTTTCTCTGCATTTTAATAAAGATCAATCTGCTTATCAAGCCAAGTCATTATTTACAGTTTGCTGTTAATTCAATTTCTCTTCTCATATTGGATCCACTACAGAGAAGGAGGAAGATGGCAGCCCCGCGATTGGAGACTGCCAGCTTTGGCCGAATGTCTGCCAGTAACATTTTAAGTTGTCCTAATTAAGGTGTAGATACACTACTATCTCTTTAAGTAGTTATTTATGATAGTGTAATTCATTGCTTGCTGAAAAATAAAGCTGACTTATGCAAGTTGCCACATAAGTGTAACACTGCATATTGTTTTTATTAAAACTACAGTGAATCTTATATTAGAACCAGCTGATAGAAGACCTTCCATGCAAGAGAACATGCAGAGGTTAATGTGGAAATGTTGGATAACAGAAGCAGCATGCAAGCAAAACATGATTCACTCGAGCTGTATTTATGTTTGTATATTTCGTAGCTTGGGATCATCCGAGGCCAGACCTCTCATTAGCCTCCGTGTACACAGCTTTGACACCTGATGAAAGAAGTTATCACCTACCATAGACTAGGACCGTGGCAGAGGTGCTTTTGCGGCGAGCAACGATGTTTTTGGCCACACACGTGTAGTTGCCTGTGTCCGCCAGCCGGGCTTTTTTGATGACGAGATTGTGGTCAGCCGTGATGAAAAAATTGGGGTCGCTCACTGGGTTGACAACATCCTCGTTTCTCTGCCACTCCACCTGAAAATATGTTTCAGTGATCAAAATTCACTGCAGCTGAATAGAAAAACCGCCATTCAGCTCTAAGCTATGCTGTGGATTTGAGATTTTTACATGGACAGAAAAAGCAGTGAGGTATTTCTGTTTCTGATGCAATCAAAACGAAGAACAGATGTAAACTTGGTATGATACAAAACTGAGATGGAGTTAATATATCTATAAGCCCTACTGAAGTGAGTAAGTAATTCTGTTTTTGCATGGGGAGTTCATTTCTTATTTTGTAGCTGCTGGAAATCTTTGTAGCTATTGGTGGTCTGTGAATGAAACTGATCATGATTTGTGTAGTTTCTGTGCCCTCTTGCAAAAGCCAAAACTGGTGTTATTCCTTTTTTGGTGTACTCTCAGATTGGCTTGCTTGTTTTCTTGCTCTCACTTGACCTCGTGCCGTCTCCAGAGTAGCTACGGTACGGCAACATTGTTGTCGGTATTACTGCCAGTTGCGATGCCGCATATAATTGGGCTTTCTTCCTCTTGTATGCTATCCCTGTTTTCTCCCGTGGTGACTTCTGCTCTGATGTTCTTTTCTGTTGAACTGCAGTTGGCACCTTCCTTCCTATTTCTCTGCAAACTGTCCCTACACTGTTGAGCTGTGATTGGCTAGTCTGCTGCTCCTGGTCTCTGGGCTGTCTGAGTGGCTGGCCTAACCTCCTCTTGTGTTGTTATTAGAGCAGTTAGTGCCTATCTGGGACCGGGAGGATGCAGCAGACGAGGTGAAACAGCTGGCCCCAGTCTGGTCCTTTAAACAGAGACACACCACCGAGAGACAAAGCAAGGGAGAGAGTTGAGCAGAACAAGAGTGTATGAGAGACACAGTACATGGAGAGATGGCACAGAGATAGAGAATGAGATAGGAAGAGAGTGAGGCAAATAGACCCATTAATTATGGATAGGCCTTTAGAGATGCCAAACGGAGAGTGAAGCCTCCAAGCCTATCTTGAGTGATGTGACGAGACGATGTGATATACGGCTTCTCAGAGATGTAAGAGAGATAATAAATCAATAATGGGGAATAATTAGAAGTGCAATTTATCCGTACAGGGTTGTCTGTTCCCTGGTGGAGCAGAGATAGACGCCGGGGAGCTCATCCTGAGCCACTTTTTGCTCTTTGTCCTCCTGGTGAGGAAAGGGTAAATGAATGCTAGATGTGCACCTATAAATATCTTCTGTATCTGTGTCTCACCTCGGCTTGTGGCACTCCCTCGGGGGGATGGCAGCGCAGTAACACCTCCTGGTCCAATGCCACCTCTTTACCCTGCGGCTCCTCCTCAAAGTTCTTTCTCAGGTCTGAGGGAAAAAAAATATGGGGAGAAGCACAACCAATTAGGGTATTTGTAACAGCCTGTGAGGTTTCAATTAAATATTTCTATCCATAAAGGCTGGTGATGTTTTCTAAATTTCCACTCTTGAAATGTCCACCCATGGCCTCTGCGAGCATGTTGCACTCCAGTTGGCCCCTAAGCCACACAGGGATCGGTGGCACCAACCATGTTGCTTATTACAGGCTGCCTGGCTGGTTCAGAGATGCTTGTCTGCTGCCAGAGGGGCCCGGCATCAAGCAAAAGCAATTGCATTACCCCTCACTCCTCCCCTCCCACCCACTCTCCTCTCTCCAGCATCCGCCAGCCTCCAGCTTCCATCTGTATGAGGGCTTGGAGCAGCCACACGAAAACATAGCCCTGAGGCGCCTGGACAAGAGCTCCAGCAAGCCTGGCTGACTGCATGGGGCTTCACATTACGTCTCATTGAATACTCTTACTGCTGCACCAAGTCCTGCTATAGATTTGTCCATAAACCCAGGCTGTGAATTACACAGGTAAAGGGCTATTTGTATCTGATGAGCTAGACAGGCTGCTGATAGCTGGCGGGTTGGCATATTTAATGTGTTCACCCCAGGTTTTTGACTCCGAGCAAAGCCACGTCTTATTGTGTTGCGAGGGGCCGAGGGTGCGGCTGTGAGCCGCCGGTGACTTCCTTCAAACAGATGTTGAGCCTGTCCTGACCAATCATACTGAGAGAAAACGTTAAGACAAGCAGAGAGTTTCAAGACATTCAATTTAATTAAAGCCGATACAATGAGACTGGAGGACACTTAAGATATAACAATCCTGGAAGGCTTAAATGTATGAGCGTGTATGTGTGTGCACGTAAATATTGTGAGTGTGAACCGGTGCGTGCACACACGCACATTCTTATTGAAGCATGTGTGTGTCCTTATCTTACATCTAACTGACTTTGTTGAGCTCTCAAACAAGGCTGGATAATGAATGTGTGTTTTCAAAACGTCTGGTGGTTTGGAGACAGCGCTGCGTTCGGCTCTGTCTGGAATAATGCATATTTATGTGGGAATTAATAGGCAGAATGCTTTAAAATACTCAAATGTAAAATGGCTTCTTCTAATAAAGCTTTTGAGGCTGCGGCGAGGGATGTGTCTGTGTTCCCCAGACAGATTTATGATTGCTGCACAGCAATAAATTTCAAATCTGTTTTTATTCCAGTTACTTTCATAGGGATCATTGCTGATATACTGTATCCAGTGAAAAATATGCTCATGAATACTCAAATTTAGTGTTCTACTTTTTTTTTTAAGACCGCCTTCAAGCAGATGCATTACTCTCTGTTTCTCCCTGCCAGGGTCAGATATTTTCTTCGTATAAGTAGAATCGCAGGAAGATAATTTAACTAAATTGTAATCACAGTAATACACTGTGATGCATCACATCATAACGGCCTCTGGGCTATTGTTTAATTAAAGTTAGTCCCTCCCCAACCACCAAAAAGAAAAAAAGAAAAAACATCTTGCCAATATCCTTTAATTACAAACTGACATGCAATATGTGAGCACCTTGTTAGGCAGCGTTTGTAGTGACAGTTATCATTTTAAAGTGCACTCACAAGCAATTCTGATGTACGCTTTTTGGCTCTTCTGGGTTCCGGTGGTACTCCAGGCGACACACTGACACCAGTACTCATCGAGACCGAAGATCTTCTCCACCTGCTGTCTGGTGATGTCAATTGTCACCTGCATGACTGGCAGCGCTGCAAAGCAAACACAGAAATAACTGTCAAAATGGGTAACGGGGGAGTCGAATGAGCTCAGGTTTATCCCCATCAGCTCATTTGACGGCAGGCAAAGAATGAAATGACCATAAATATAAATATTTCTCCACAGAAGGAAAACAAACGAGCTGAACTGAATCCTTTAGTGCATTTTGTACCTTGAACTAAACCGGCAAAGTAATTTAAAAAAGCCGGCCAGAATAAACAAGCAGAGAACCATAATCATATATAAACAGAGTGCTTGTTAACTGAGGAAAATGAGAAGAGAGCCTCACAGCTATCCTTGGTGTAATTTGGAGGGCGTTAAAACAGCAACAGTTGGGATGGAAGAAGAAAGCGCTAAACAAACACTCAACAAACAAAAATACTCAGACCTGCTTCTCTATTATTAAGCCCCAGAAGGAGGGGTGGGGAGTTCAAAATCTATGGAGCATTTCCACAAAAGCATTGATATAAGTGATGCTGCTGTAATGCTGGGCAAAATCAGTTTTATTTCTTGTCAAGAAGAAAGCAAAGACATGCCTTCTCCAAACAAAGCAATAATTGGGATGAAATCCTTTCAGCTAAATCATCCAAACACTGTGTAGTCAGACTCCTGTCTTTCTTTATATTTGAGAATCACTTTTTCATTTCATTTTCCTTTGACATTTTATTTGGGGACCTGTAATCCAGGGGTATTTTTTTTATATATATTATATTGAGCTACGACCTTGATCCCCACCATGTGTCCTACTTTCTCTTCACTCTGATGAAGAGATTGCCATGTTTTCCCCTCAGCTTCCAGCTCTCTCTCCATCTCATCTTTTTCTCTCTGGGGTCTTCAGGAGAGAAAGAGGTGTTGAACCTTTCATATGAACACAGAACATTTTACAGTCCCAGAGACTGACAGAGTAGCATATACAGTGCTGTATATTTAAGTCTCAACAGAGAGCCACTCTTCAACTGCTATTTACATAAAAGCTCTTTGTGACACTCACACACTCCCCTCACACACTTGATCCGTCTGCAATGATCATTTCCAGCTCCAGACTGAAGCTGACTGAAGCTTGACTAAGTGGCACCTATCAGGCCATCAAACCTATACAACAATTACATAAAACACTTGCACTGATACAGAGTATTAATCAAACCAAAAATGGGAGATTTTTTAAAGCAATTTGAGGCACTGTAGAGGCCTGTATGAGAAGTATGGCTTCATTGCCAGTAGCCACACGGTGATAAGTAGCTATGAGGGTCACTGGCAGACCCCCCCTATGTGTCTAAAAGTGGCAGATTTTGCTATATGCGATCACAGTAAATGTGACTACATGTGCAGCGAATCCACCCCTGAGGCGCCACTCTGAGCGTCAACAACACCCCGTGCTGTGTGCAAGATTTCACCAACATGCTCGTGTACATGCTTCACTCATTTAAAAAAGGAGAAAAAATGATATTTGTGTGTCCATTTTGGCTTTAATAAATCACCCACAAGAACTGTCAAAATAATGTTGGATTCCTTTTGAAAGGCTGGATTGAGGAATTTACTCTCATTTACTTACTTTCTTCCTCTCTCTCTCAATTCCAGCTCTTCTGTCAGATGTGTGTGTGTATGTGTTTGTGTGTCTGCAGTGAGTGTGTGGCACAGGTTGAGAGAGCACCTAAGTGCTAAAACAAATGGCTAAAGTAAGGAAATGGGCACTACAGAGAATGAACAAATGGACCAGACGAAACCCTCCTTCTTCCTTCAAATCAGCGCCATGACAGCATTTGCCTTTCCTTTTAAATAAATAAAGAAAAGTCCATGTACCTTATACAACAGAAACAGCATTCAAATTCTACACATATGCAATCCAAGGACAGTGGATACTTGCAGTTACTCTTTTCAAAAAGTCAGCCACAGGATCGATAGAAAATAATGAAATGAAGTCTTAGTTACATCTACGCTTTTACTTACAGCACATGCAGATATGAGCAATTTATATCTTGTACACCAGGGAGAGATTTAGAGAAGGGCTAATTGTTTCATTTAGTTTTTTATCGTTTTATTTGTGTGTGCTTGCATTTTAGTTATTAATAAAATCTTTAAAGGGCATTGCATGCTGCATGCTGGACACAGTGTCTGCAACAATAGTATACCATAGTGCAGTGTGGAGGACAAAGAGAGGGGAAATCCATCTGAAGCGTTCCCCTCAACCTGAAGGTTAAATGAAACTAAATTCTAAGAAACTGTAACAGCCTTGGAAACATTTAATGGCCATGATTTAGACTGAGCAGTTTACGTGTGAAAATGATTAGAAAAAATATATCTGAATATACATTTGAAATTTGGCAATAAGCTGTGTTCAGTGCTTTGTATAGCTCTACTTACAGTAGTAATTCAATTGATTAATGAAAACCTTCCTTCTTCTTTAGGCTAGAGGGTGAAAGGAATAGAGATCAGTATGGAGATGGAAAGCATGAACAATAGCAACCTGAGGTGAGAAATCCAAAGAGGAGCAATTTGAAGCTCTGCTTGCCAGGGTAATTGCATTCTGTTTCCTTATCTCTTCCTGTCTCCATAATTACCTGCTTTCTGTGTCTGACACCTTCCAGTAACACTGCTGTGAGTCACTCTGTCCAATTTCACTCCAATTAATAAGTAGGACAAAATAATATCATCACTTTGTGAACGAAATAGGACTGTAATTTTATAGCAGTTAATAATGATTGGACAGGCTGCTATTTACTGTTGTTTTCCAAAGTCTATTCCACTGGGATGGCTGCAAGTAAAACAAAACTTTATGAGCATCGCTCAAAGATGACTGATACCACAGCTACACTATTGATTCATGGAAAGCTGTGCCTTTCTGGAAACGGGGCACTGACACACTTATGACTCAATTACATCAATATCGATTTATAATAGTATGCTCAGCTGCCTCCAAGGTGTTAGGAATTAAAAAGAGAGATAGGAAATTTACACTTCCTTTCCTGCAAGATACTGAGCGTGCACTTAACATTCCTGTTAAACGATAATTAAAACATGACACAATTCCCCCAGCCTTCGGTTTGATCTACAGCCCATTTATAAATGAGCTCATATCCCAAAACCTCAGTGAAATTACTGTGAATTTTAAGGGGTGATTATGTGATTGACACTGTCTGAATCCCGGGCTTACAGCTGGAACCCCTGGTGAGTTTATTTTTTATTGGAGTGCAATGGGGCAACTTACTCGACTGTACTTACCCATAATATTTAGGAAATAGCGATCTCCAAGCTTTGTAACATTGCGCACACACACACACACACACACACACACACACACACACACACACACACACACACACACAATATGCCATTATACAGTCATACCAATTCCAATAGTCAACTTTGTCTTTTGATAGTAAATGCGACTTGACACTTATTTGGCAAGGGTTAATAAATATGAATTATGTGTTTTTGACACATTGATGCCAGACAGCAGTTACACGTTAATTCTTCGTTAGTGCTGCACACATAATACCTGTATTCGCAGACACACACACACACACGCATCAGTCCATGTAATGTTCTCACTGCAACGTTTAAGCAGGAATAATTAAGTGATTTTACAGGATCTGTATTATTTCTTTGGTAACAAATTTGAAATCATACACTATAGAAACTATAAAAATATGTGTTCACTCTTTCATAACAAAGTAAAGTGATGTTAAATGTATGTTGTCAGGAGCACAGTTGTGAATCTTTGGGTGGGCCACATGGAGCGGTTCAGACTGATGGATTGATTTCTCCCCTCTTACTGTAGGTCTTAAAGGGATTTATTCTGCAAGTGTTTAGGTTTGGCTACAGAGGTGGGGAGGACACATTCAAGTGCTTAAAAAATGAAAAACTGTGTAAACTGCTTCTTTTATACAACGTAAACAAAGGTTTGGTGTGTAACTTGCTGCATTATCAATGCACTAACTTACCATTTTAATCCTCTTAGTCCCCTGTAGAACAAGGACAATTTTATAAGGAGTACAGTCTAGACCTGCTTTTTATGAAAAGTGACCTGAGATGACTTCTGTTATGATTTAGTAAGATACAAATAAAAATTGAATTGCATTGTTCCCCATCCTTGGCAACATGTTGAGACTGTAGTATTCTCATCTAAAGCACAAGAGCATTGTCCCCTGTCCACTGACTGATGGGAAATTCTAGCGTATTTTGGGGAGCGATTAATCGTTAATAAAAACATAAAAAAATGTTTTAACACATTTTCAGTAAAGGCTGCAGACAGGCTGCATACAGTCCCAACAACTTCCAGCAATTAAATAGAGTAATTGCTATGCTGCCTGGGAGGCAACACCCAGGGCAAAAAAGTCTACAATCTCCTGATTGCTGCTCTAAGTGTGCAGTAATAATTAAAGACTGGATAAATAGTAGACACTGTGTAAAGATATTCAGTGGCATCTAGCAGTGAAGTTGCAGACTGCAACCATCCGAATACAGCTCAGCCTTACAAGGGTGAAGGAGAAACTACCATGGTCGCAAAACTCCAAAGGTTCTAGAGCAAGTGTTTGGTTTGTCCTTTGCTACTGTAGAAGTCGTGGCAACATGGCGGACTTTGTGTAAGACGAACTGTTCCCTGTATAGATAAAAATGGTTAATTCTAAAGTTTTTCAGGAAATTCAACTCTAAAATACCATTAAGATTAGCTCAAAAAATTACTTTTAAGTCATTATCAGGTCGAAGACTGGCATATAGGTGAGCACAAGACAAATGTGATAAAAACCTAATTTTGACTTCATGGCGACTTTAAAAGAAGTAGTAGTTTGTTATCATCCAGGTTCTGTTATAATGAAAATTGGAATCATCTCCAAATGGAAATCAGATAGCTTGTTTCATGTGTACTCCATCCACAAAAATCCATTTTGCCTTTCATTGTGGCTTCTCCTTGTTGTTTCACATTTTAATATGAAGTCATAGGGCAGAAGACATCAGTTGAGTGGGCGGTTCTTCGGTGTGGCGCAGGACACCT